TGCTTGTTATATTTGCCATATTTTTGTCTAAAGGTCTGACCTCTTTCCCATTGATTTTATGCCCCAAATATACGATTTCTGATACTCCCAACACACTTTTTTCAACGCTTGCCCGCAATCCTTTATCCTTGATCCTTTTGAACACCTCCTCCAATCTTCGTTCGTGTTGCTCGGGAGTCTTTCCCATCACTAATACGTCATCCATGTAGTAAAATACTCCCTCTAGTCCTTGAAAAACTGCCGCCATCGTTCGTTGAAAAATTGGAGCCGACACGCTAAGTCCAAACGGCAATCTACAGAAGGCATACAATCCCTTCGGAGTCGTGATCGTTAATAGCTTTTGTACCTCGGGTTTCACCTTCAATTGTAAGTAAGCGTTCGAAAAGTCCACCTTTGAAAAATATATGCTACCCTTTAAATTAGCTAATATTTCTTCAATCCGAGGTAACGGATATTTTATCTCCACAACCCACGGGTTTAGCGTGACCCGAAAATCAGCGCATAAACGAAGCTTTCCATTGGCCTTCTTCACGGGTACTAACGGTGTTGCCCATTCGCTATATTCCACTGGACAAACAATGCCCTTCTGCACCCACTGCTCCAATTCCTTGTCTACTTCATTTCGCCATTCGAACGGTATCCGACGTAATGCACAAAACTTGGGCACATATCCCTCCTTTAATTTGATATCCACTTCATAATCTCGGAGACAACCCAACTTCTCATCAAAAATCTCCTTGTAATTTTTCATCAAGTTTCTCACTCCCTCTTGTACTTTGATCATACCAAATTCTATCTCTCTATCCCGCAATTCCCTCTCTTCCCGTCGTCTCGTTTCCTTTCCATCCATTTCCATTTGTTGGCTATGTGTTCCCTTAGTATTTCCTTGTTCCAAATCATCATCTTCTCTAGTCTCTTCTTCTGGCAACATTATTTTCCCATCTGCCAATCTCTCCAGCTCCGCTTCAAACTTTCCTTGATCATGAATTTCTTTCTGTTCTTCAGTATCATTTCTTTCTTCCTTTCTCCCAAAGTCGCGACAACTCCTAAAATTCTCTCCAATACCTCCCCTAAAATTCTCCCCAATACCTCCCCTATAGTTCCCCCCAAAACCTTCCTTATAGTTCCCCCCGATACCTCCCCTATAGTTCCCCCCGATACCTCCCCTATAATTCTCCCCAATACCTCCCCTAAAATTCCCCCCAATATCTCCCCTATAGTTCCCCCCAAAACCTCCCCTATAGTTCCCCCCGATACCTCCCCTATAATTCTCCCCAATACCTCCCCTAAAATTCCCCCCAATATCTCCCCTATAGTTCCCCCCGATACCTCCCCTATAATTCTCCCCAATACCTCCCCTAAAATTCCCCCCAATATCTCCCCTATAGTTCCCCCCAAAACCTCCCCTACAGTCTCTAACAACCCTATTATCCTCTCTTCTCCTTTCCCCATCCAAAAAGGTTTCAATTCCTGGCAATCTCTCTCCATACCACAAATTCATATCTCTATTTTCTTCATATCTTGCAACAGGTAAAAATACACCACACCATGCGAATACCCCCCAAAAACCACAATCTGGACCAATTCGGGTGATCCAATCCCATCCCACTACTGACTCTACTTTTCGATCTACTATCCATAAGTCCAAAATCTCCACTCTATTCTCTAATATCACCTTTAACTCCACCCTTCCCATCACTGCGACTTCTGATCCATCCAACTGACGGATCTTGATGTCCTCCCGTTTAATTATCCCTTCCGACCAAATACTCTGATATTTCTCATATCCCATCACGGATATGGCTGCCCCGGTATCAAATAACATGGATACCATATTTCCATTCAAATTTATCCAAACTCTAGGGCAAGGATCATGTATCCTTTCTTCTTGTATCATATATATGCCCTTTGATACCCAATCTTTCTCACTATAATCTAATCTTTCCATCTCTTTCGCCCAAAGCCCCCCGACCTTTGCGGCATGCTCTTTGCCATCATATAGTCACAAATACTCGCAATCTCTCGCCCCATGTCCTTCCTTCCGGCAACGGAAACAGATTCTATTCTGCTCTTTATTCACAGCCAAAAATGGTATTCCTACCTCTTTATTTTTTTCACTTTCTATAATTCTAACATTTGGAGCACTTTGCCCCATGTCCCTCTGCGGAAAACCGCCTCTAGTTTTGAAATTACCCACATTGCATTCCTCCCTATTATGACCAAATCGACCACAACCTGCACATCGTAGCTTATCACGTCTTCCTGAACAAAACGTGGCTATATGTCCATATTTTCCACATTCAAAACATTTCGTTTCTTGGCAATCTCTGACCATATGTCCCTGTCTTCCGCAATTATAACAATTCATTCTCCCCCTTACTCTTGAATCAAAGTTGGGTCTCATTTCTCCTCTCCTTCCCTGTGAACTTTCTCTAGGTCCCCTATATGTCCCCAATCTCTGATTAGTATATGAATCTCTCCTTTCAGGCCTATAGGTTAATTTATCTAATTCGCTATCCGTCCACCCATTAATTAACTCCTTCACTGGGAACCATGTTACCTTTCCCATAACATCCTCTTCCCCATTATGTCCTTCTATAGTCAATGTCTGCCCCTTTATTTTCACACTTCGACTTCTTTTCAACTTTCTTCCCCATATTAAGCTACACATCCATATTACTAATATAACCAATGCCCCAAAAATATTATACTGTATTTCCCAGTATTTTACAAATTTTAAACTTTTCATTTCGACCTTATAAAAAATTTATAATTAATTTCAAAATAAAAATTTTTGTTATTTGTAATGTTAATAGATATGATATTATTAATAGTGTAAACAACCCAATAATACACATGTACATCTACAGTTAATAAGTCTAAAGATACGACAAAAATTTGGGCAAATTTTGTGTAACAGATTTACAACTCGTAAAATTTGGACAGCACTTCCGTACGATAAGACTTTTTTTTTTATTTTGAGAGAGCAGAGAAAGGAAAAAAAAATAAATGGACAGCTGATGTCGATGATGAAGACGATGTATACTTCACTTCAAGACTCAAATACCACTATATGATATTTTTCACTCGAAGACTCAAATACCACTATATGATATTTTACCGTAGATGTAGATGAAGACGATGTACAATTCACTTCAAGACTCAAATACTACTATATATTTTCCACTCGAAGACTCAAATACCACTATATGATATTTTACCGTAGATGTAGATGAAGACGATGTACAATTCACTTCAAGACTCAAATACCACTATATGATATTTTCCACTCGAAGACTCAAATACCACTATATGATATTTTACCGTAGATGTAGATGAAGACGATGTACAATTCACTTCAAGACTCAAATACCACTATATGATATTTTCCACTCGAAGACTCAAATACCACTATATGATATTTTACCGTAGATGTAGATGAAGACGATGTACACTTCACTTCAAGACTCAAATACCACTATATGATATTTTACCGTAGATGTAGATGAAGACGATGTACAATTCACTTCAAGACTCAAATACCACTATATGATATTTTCCACTCGAAGACTCAAATACCACTATATGATATTTTACCGTAGATGTAGATGAAGACGATGTACACTTCACTTCAAGACTCAAATACCACTATATGATATTTTCCACTCGAAGACTCAAATACCACTATATGATATTTTACCGTAGATGTAGATGAAGACGATGTACAATTCACTTCAAGACTCAAATACCACTATATGATATTTTCCACTCGAAGACTCAAATACCACTATATGATATTACGACAACCGCACTAACCAGGTTGCTTTGTATAAACACGGCACCAATTTCAAAATTTCACCGTACAGAAATGTTTAACTTAACAGTATATTTATTTTTTTTTTACCCCTTTTTTTTTTGAATAAATTGGTTTTATTTTTCTTTAAAACAATAAATATAAAAAAAAATATAATTGATAATAATAATGAATTTCCACTTTTTTTTTAGTTTATATAAGATTATTATTATTTTTTTTATAAATATTAAATTATTATTTATTTTTTTTTACATAATAAATATTAAAAATATTTATATAATGACGTTCAAGATGACTGCGCGAAACAAAAAAAAAATATTAAAATAAAATTTCAAACAAAAAAATATTTATATAATGACGTTCAAGATGACTGCGCGAAACAAAAAAAAAATATTAAAAATAAAATTTCAAACAAAAAAAAAAATATTTCATGACTCATACAAAAAAAATAATAAAACTATTTATAACAATTTAGATATGTATTAAGTTAGTTTCATTAAAATTATTAATATTGTAATGTTGTATAAATGTTAAGTTATTTCTTTCAATAATATTTTTTATATAAGAATGACATCTAAAATAATTTCCATATTTTTCTGTCAAGGAATAATGATATATTTACTTACATAAAATTCTATATATTAATATTGTAATGTAGTTGTATAAATGTTAGGTTATTTCTTTCAATACTATTGATCACATAAGAATGATGTCCAAAATATTGAATAATTTACATATTTTGAATAGGATCATTAAATAATGTAACCATAAAGTTATATATATTAATATTGTAATGTAGTTGTATAAATGTTATTTCTCTTAATAACATTAATTATATAAGAATGACGTTTAAAATATGTAAATAATTTCCATATTTGAATGAATAATTTTAAATAATGTAAGTTAAAATCGTCAAATATATTTTAATATTAAAATTTATTTTATATAGGAAAAAGAATATATAAGAAAATGGATATTTATAATGAAAACATATAAAATAAAATACAATTAATATTGGCGGCCATTTTGTGGTTTGCTAATATTTCATTTACTAATTTTCTTGATATATACCTCAATTTTAGTCCGACAATATAATATGATATAAATTTTGATATATAAAAAATATATATGTAATATTAACATATAATTTCGGTCTGCAAGTAGCAATAACTTTATATTTATTTATTAGTAAATATGCATCGATCCATATACAGCTGTTGATTTATTATTTTTTTAAATCAACTAAAAAGCTTGGCAATGAAAGCATAAAATGGAATTGATCAATAATAATAATGATTATTCAAGTTTTTTTAAAATTATTCAATATAATTAATCAATATATTTTGGGTTGTTTATAGGAGCACTATTATTTTTTTATTATTTTTCAAAATTTTTGAATATTTTTTTGAAATTAAATTTTCATTGAGTTTGATATTGAATAATGGGAGAAATAGGTAAAATATAATTAAATTTATTTAAGGTATTAATTTTAAGAATTAGAGACCTGTAAGCCTGGCCCAGCTTGTTAACCTAGCCTCGGCTTAAAAAATCTGGGTCAGGCTTAAAAATTAAAAATCTGGGCTGGACTTATTTTTTTTAAAATAAATTTTAAATAATAACAATTAAGCAGTAGAAAATTTTTAGAAAATCTTATAATGACATATTTAATATTCATTTATATATCTTCAACTTCTCTTTGAAACAATTTGCAAAATACAGCCAAAATTAATAATTATAAGTTAGGCAATTATCAAAAATAATAATTGTATCAATTTAAAAAAATCATGAGACATACTGAATAATCATAATATAGGTTTGGAAATGCTCAAATTTTTACTTCTGCAGATCTCTGATGGAGAGCTTGCATTGAAATTATAAAAAAACACCAATTTTCACTTATATAAAAAATAAGTATTGATTTGTTAAAAGCTTAAATTGAAATGTTATATAAATTTCCAAAAAAATTTAATTATTTAAATAATATTTTGAAAGATAATTCTTTTATTTAGAATATTTGTCTACAACCCATTTTAATGAAAATGCATGTGAATTATGCAAGGCCCCTCCTTGAATAATATTTAAATTTATATCAATTAATTTTTATAATAAATACCATGGAATAATATAACTCTATTGGATGACACTTTATAAATCTAGTATTTTAAAAAATATCTATAATTTTGGCATGACCTTGGTTTCAAAATAAAACTAGTGAGCCTGAAATTTATTTGTTGGTTAAGTATTATAGCATTCTACATCCACTTTTTTTGCAAAATGTTTTTTTTTTATGTAAATGAATTAATCAGTTATATTCTTATATATCCACAGTGAAAATATCAAATGCACAAAGTATATTTTTTAAAGGCTCTCCTAAAGAATTTTAAAAAATGGAGATAAAAAATAATATAATAATACTCAGTCAATGATTTATGGATTATAAAAAATATTTATGCAAGCTGGCTTTATTTTATCAACTTTTTTTTGATCATATGAGGTCAAAAATGTGAACAAAAATGAAAATGTGAATATTTATTATACATTCAAGAAAATCTCAATAATAATATTGATTACGCATATGACGGTAATACTTATACTTTAATTGAGTTTTAGAAATAAATTGATATGAAATGGAGATTTCTTGCATATTTTTTAAAAATATGTCTAAATTTGGAAATATTTAATAAATTTCCCCCATTTTTAGTTCAAAAACCCTATTTTCTAAAATAATACAGATTATTAAATTATAAAAGTTATATCTGAATATTTATAGTGAATGCATAACATTACCATTGACAGTGAGTTTTTAAGAGTAGTTTTGATAAACGGGCTCGATTTTTTAAAACGTCTAACCCAAAATTTTAGTCAAAAATATTACGCAAGCCTGAAGATCTTGTTCATAGATGACAGTGGACATTATAAAATATCGAGGCTTGCATAATATTTTTTGGCTAGAATATTGGGTTTGCTGTTTTTAAAAATTGTGCCGTACAACACTATTTACGAGGTTTGGGCTGAAAAAAATATTTGACACATCTAGTAAGATAAATCAAAATTTTTTAAACTTGCTGTATTGAAAAATAAATCTATAGTACACTACTGTAATATATTTTTTTTAAAAAGGAACTGTGTCAAAAAAAAAGGAATGTATCGCCAGCAGATCAAGCACACATGGGAAAAAAGCTAGTTGTTAACCGGCTTGATTTAGCCTATTTTTAAAAACATTTGACTCAGATTTTATCCAATTGCCCACAATTAACAGAAAGGTTTGGATATCTATTATCGAAATTTCGAGGCTTACATAAAAATATTTGGGCTAAAATCTTGATAGCCATTTTCAAAAATCGGCTAAATCGAGCCAGCTTGATTTGGCTTGATTTTTTAAAACGGCCAATAACGATTTTAGCTTAAATAATATTGTATAATCCCCGAGATTTGGCAAATAGAGGTGCAAACCTTTCTGACCTATGAGGAAAACCTCCAAGCTTACATATTATTATTTTGGCTAAAATCTTACTCGGGCCGTTTTTAAAAATCGACCCAAATTCGAGTCCGTTTAACAACACATACATACATTATTTTAAATGAGATAATTTAACTTTTTGAAAATTAAAAAAAAAATTACTTGATAATTCGCATAAGTAAAGTTGCTTTTTTTGAATAGAAAATATTAATTTTTTTATGAGATTGAACCTAGGATAAATGGTAAATAAAATCAATTTAAATATCGGTTATCGGATTGGCTTTTAGTAATACCGGATCGAGAAAAAATTGTGGATCGGCACAACCCTACTAATTTGATAACAGACGCAACTGTTATAAAAATGGCTATGATAAAAAGCACGAATTTTCGGTTTTTAAAAATTATAATTTGTTGGTTTGTAATTTTATAAATTGTTAGGGCTGAATATAATTTAATTTAAATGAATTTTTTCCACCCAACCCATTTTTGGAATTTTTATTTTTAGGATCTGTCGGGATTTTTAATACCTTACCATTTTAAGGACCGGGCTTAGTGTGCCTGTTTCCGATATATATTTAAATCCGAGAGAGAAAAAAAAGTTGAATTAATAATAATAATTAACGAAGCCCTCAAGTAAAATTTAGCTAATTCATTATTCAATCTGAATTCCTCATTTATTATCATAAAATAACAAGCGTAATAATTTATTCGTGTCACAAAACCAATATAACAAAAAAATTTGCGCAAATTTTAATTTTAACTTTTCGCTCTCTCATTATCCTATTTTTAGAAATATAATTTTAAAAAATTATTAATACGTTATACAAAAAATAAAAGAATCTAATCTAAATCTGATCACCGATATATAAATTAGATTTTGCCTATTATATTTGATATACTAGCAAAATCATAATTGATGCTGAATCACGTGCGACCTAGCGTAAACCTTGAGTTAAAGGACGAAAAATAATGAGATACCCGTTCGTACAATAAAAGGGACGTTAAAAAAATAACTTGGCAATGTCAAGTTGTATGATACCCAAATACAATATATAATTTTTATTAACTACTTTATAATAGAGATGTGTCGTTTTTTTTTTACTGATACTGCTGGGTATCGGGCCTATATCACCGATACATAGGAAAATTATTGAAAAAAAATTAGACATAAAACGCAATTCTGAAGGAATAACGGGGATGCGACATTAGCTAATTAAATACGACTTATGAAGAATCTTTCCCCTTTATTTTTTCCATTACTGACTTTAAGCCTCAATTTATTATGTAGTATTCCCGAAGGGTTTGAACATTAAGAAATTCAACGATTTTAAATGGTTTTTTAAATTTCCTGGAAGCATGCTGATAATTTTATTATTGATATCGAAGCAACATTCTTTAGGTGTAAGAATTATTTTATGGGATAATTTTCCCCCTCTTATTATTTTTTTCTGGGTAACAAGGTTTTATTTGCTTTCTTGCGAAAAAAAACGCGTTAGGCGAAGAGGGACTTCGCATTCACGTAAGTTCTTTAAAATAAAGATGGATCGGGTTTTAGGCCAACTTACAAAAGAACGAATGAAGGATTTCCATAAAGTAAAGGTAAAATGTATAATATAATATATTTAAAACCACCCTGTATATAATTTATAGCGATATTATATATTAATTTTTTTTGTAATGACTATCAAACACTTAAATATAATGACACGTATAGTCCTTCTTTAAAAATTTTTTTGTAGTCAGTTTAGAGGAAGCAATATATATATATTGTTAAATAGAAATTTGTTTAGAAGGACACACCAGAATACAGCTTTAAGGATAGAAGAAAATAATACGTAAAAGAATTGGTATTTTGCTTTTATAAAGGGCAGAGACCGTCCAGCCTTAAGCCCGAAATATAAATGTTTTATATTTTTAAAAAATCTGGGCTGGTCCAAAAAAAAATTTAAAAAAAGCAAGCCGGGCCGAGCCAGAAAATATTTAACCAGTGCCGAAAAATTTAAAAAAAAAACTGGACCGGACCTGGCCTTGCAAATGTTACTTCTGAAGGTCTCTAATAAAATTAGGAAATTTGCCGAGAATCCGTTAGTTGTAAGTGACAGCTCTTTATCGGTTAAAATTGAGTACAGTTAACTCTAATTTGGGCATTGTTGAGATTGAGTACAGTTAAATCTTTCCAATTTGGGCATCGTTGGGACCAAGATTTTACACATCTTTGACAGTTTCTCAATTTATCAAGGCTTATTTTTACTCCCCACATCGCTGGTCGGGCATTTAAAAACTACGATATCATGACAAATTCGACCCTACCCATAAAATGAAAATAATTGCCCAAACCGAAAGTTTTAAACATTATTATCAACCCAATTATAAAATTTATTTCATAGTCTTAACCCCCCCCCCCCCCTCCACCTCCCCTGAAAATTAAATTATTTCCCTAACATTGATTCAATTATAAAATAATATTCAATTATAAAATTCAATCAATCCATTATTTATTCATATCACTTATTGACGGTCAACGATCCAGTTTATCGATTTGGCCTTTAGAATTAGTTCCCCAGTTGGTTTTCAATTGAGTTTCGGGTCGGTTCAATTTGGACCGATCAATATACTTTTTTTAATAATAATTAAATTATAATCGTATAAATAATCGATATTATATAAGTTTGAACATTTTTTTATAATAATATTTTTTGAATTGCCTTATTTACCAAACATCAATACCTTTTTTAGTACATTGATTTACATTATTCTTTTTTTTTAAAAAAATAACCTAGAAAAATAAATGTGATAATTTAAAAAGTTTTAGAAAATTTAGAATTTGCATACTGAGAGGATCAATCATAACCTCTTAACTCGAGAGAACAACGAGGAGGGCGGGGGTTGTGGGGAGAGGATTGTTTATTAAAAATTTGTACACTTAGTTTATATTAAGTTAACTTCTATGTAACTCTTAATACTACTATTTTATAATATCTTACAACAGAAACAGGAATATTCACTATTCAGGCTATTATAATAAAATAAAAAAATTTATATGGAGATAAAATCCCAGCATAATTAAGTCTCCATACAGATACATTGTATTCTGAGAGATTAAATGTTTTTACACTCAATTTTCCAATAATTAATTTTTTATTTTAAAATTAATTCGTTTATCATTAGTGCGATTTCGTGATTCGTAGCATTGAGACAATTATTATCTTGACCTCTTTAATTCTATATCAAAATTTCAGCCAAAATAATATCACCCCTAATAAATGTCCAAATCTATCTGCCATCGATGAGCAAAATTTCCAAGCTTGGACAATTTTTTTGGATATGATCTTTATCTTGAAATTCGTTGAATAGGGCTAGCAAAATGTTTTATATTTTAACCATCATTTTATGTTGTCAAAACGTAACTTAGCTATAGGCCACATAAGATTTTAAATAAACCATTTTTTTATGATCCAAAAAATTTTTCTCTTCTAAAAACATTATTTACAACTTTAGATAATACGAAATGGATAGATATAAGCGGCAAAAATGACCCGCCTAAGGAGAAAGAATCTTCCGATTACCCCAAAGCCGAGGTACCCCCATTCGTTTTAAAGAAGCTAGATTTTTATCAACTAGCCCTAAATTACGTCAAATGCTTAGCCGTCATGTTATCAATATTTCTTGTTGGTCGGTTAAAATGCAGCATATTCTGGGTAATAGCCGGAGCTGGCCTGGTGGCCTGGCTGTGGAACAAGCGCAAGATTAAGAGGGAGAATAAAGCGGTATTAAGTCGAATCAACGATACTATAACCGAAAAAAAAGAGGTTCTTGCTAAGCTTCACGACCTTCCCAGCTGGGTAAATTACTGTTATCTATTTCTTCATTGTTTTGTCGATAATTTATTATGATTTTTTAAGCATTAATATTGATATAATGTATATATTTTACCTATTCTATTAATATTGGTTTTATGATAGTTATTATTTAAAAGTAATATGTTAGCATTATAAACACTAGAAATTCCCTTTTTTTTGTAGAAATTTGACTTTTTATGAAAATTACATAGACTAAATATCAGTCCTTCTGAATACCATTAAAAATGTATATAACTTGGTATGAAGGTTATATTGATTGTTTATTTTATACAAATCAAAATTTCAAAGCTTAAGTAGCTAACTGGAGTTATTGATCTTCAAAAAGAGTTTGTAAATACGTTATGTAGCTGTTAAAGGATCCACTATTGTATTATTTCTTTAAGAAGGGATAATAATATCTTTTCTGGAATCGGTGAATAAAAGAATTAAGATGATGGTCCATACAGAGGGAGGAACGATATTCTATTGCTTTAGATGCTTCATTTTTTGTAAAATCATAGCTAATCAATCACCAAGAATTATCATATATGCGTGTTACAAATTTTTTGATTAAGCTAAATAAAATTACCTTTATCTATAAGTATTATATCACGAATATTATGACTATCAGCTTCTGAATATAATTTTGTCTTAATTTTATTTAAATCCAAGGGAGATATTATGTTCATTTTTTTATCCAATCGTTCACACAACTGTATATTTTCATCATTGGTCACATATATAAAAATAATTTAATAACATAGTTTCTTTTGCAAAATTGTAAAAATTAATCAATTTTATAATTTGCCTAGAAATGGGGCTCTGTAAGCTGCAACGTAAGGCCAATCTTTTTAACGTGTCTCCAAAGGCATCACATAGACCTTTCCATGGCATATAGCTGATAAATGCCACTCAGCAGGCACGCAAAAGTTAGATTCACGAAACAGATTTATAAAGTTTTTATTACCGCTTACGTAATTAATATTTTCTACGTTACCATAATTATAATAATAAGCCAAAAGCTATCATAAGATGGTAGTCTCTTGATTCAATGGAATCTTTGAACAGATTCTTGGATCACAAAAGTATAACTTTCCGAAAAGTCACAGATTATCATATATTCATACAGCTTTAATATATTTAAGCTTCAAATAATATGATGATTGCTGGTTAGCAATAAAAGTATAGCATAAAAAGTGTATAATTTTTCTGTAAAAATATTTACAAATTACTCTACCGGTTTTGTAATGCTTCCAGGGTAGTCATATCAACAGGTACATATTGTTTTACAGTTATTTGATGTTCTTTCTTTATATATTTTTTAGATGTTTTTGTGAATACATACCGGATCAATAATCTTTTTCACTTAAAAAGCAACTAGGTAGTGCTGAGTCGCATATAACTATGGTTGATATATTTTTTTAATTTTGAAATGGTTTGCTGTAGTTGTTAATCTTCCTAGTTAGCATCGATATATATCTACTTAAAATTTTGGTATATTACACAGACACAAACACTGAAGTTCCACTTGATTCAGCTAATACCCAATTTTTTAGGCCTAAATTGGCGAATTTCGAAAAGCCTACTTTTATGATAATTTTCTTAATGGTTATATAATTCTTTCAAAATATTTAGAACCAGGTCCAACCTAATCTGAACCGAACCGTTAAACTGGTATTTTTTATCGAATCTAAACCGTTAAAAGATTTTCTCGTTAAACATGAACCGAAGAGCTAAAATCTGAACCGGTTTCGAACCTCCTGATTTTGTGCTTATAAAATAGTATGAAATTGTTATTAGTATATTGCTAAAATCTTATTTTTTTTAGAGATTATTTTTCATCAATCATAATGTCCAGAGGTAAATTGAATCCATTTTTTAAATTGTTTACATATAGTATTAATAGCACATCATTGTGACACAACAAGGGGTACCACATTTTGAGTCTCACTAAAAAAAAGCCCTCTATAACTCAATAAAATCAAAATATAACAAATAAAACATATAATTAGAATGTAGGTTTGTATACAAAAATGTTCAAACCGGTTTTTAGTTCGAACTTAACCGATATTTTTATTTTTTATGAACCGAACTTGACCCTTGAACCGTTATGTGTATCCAACCTTAAACAAAACCGATAATCGTTTCGGTTCGGATCCCTAGTAATTTTTTTTGGAGGCTTTTTTTTAATGGTAATAAATTTAACTCTTTCCTCCCTAGCATCATATGACTTATCCGAAGAATAAAATTCTTTTATGATATCAATTGTTTTTGGAGCTATTGTTGTGACAGGTTTTATATTAGTAGATGACATAAAACTTAATTAAGTTATTTGGATCTTTTCACCATATAATTTGTAGTATCAAATTTTTTCCCTATTTTATCATGGGTCCATGATGATGATACATTGTTGTAATCTTGTAGTTTTTATTTTATCTTTGAAAAGATTTGGATAAGTTTGTTTTAATTTTCGAAAAACTTCCTTTTTATTATAATTTACTACATCTTCTGCGCCTAATAATACATCGCTTAAGACTTTTGTTCTTTAAAATTTTTTTATGTAATTTTTAATTCCATTCTTCGGACGAAGTAAGTCTTATGATGCCAGTCAAGAAAGACTTCAAATCTGTTAAAATTGACGGAAGAAAAGAAAGCCTCAAAAAAAGATTAGCTCTAAATTGATTTAAATAAGAGTATCCAAATATAAAAATAGGCTCTTCAAAATTCGCGGATTTATGCCTTAAATCAATCGTAACTCTCTATGTGTGTGTCTGTGTAATACACCAAAGTTTGAAACTGATGTTTATTACTAACAAGCGGTGCGTTATGTTCAAGCTAGGCGTTATTTACAAAATCAAGCCAATAAATAGATATAAGAAGCCTTATGACGATAACGCTAGGATAAAATTTGAAAAACATGCTGTGATATGATCGATATTATATAAATATTAGTGAATTTGATAAAAAGGTATATGATATTTCTAAAATATTATGAAAAATAATTATCTCTATTTTATCAATCTATTAAATTACCACTACGAAGAATCAATTGTGATTTTATTAACGTTAAATAGCGCTAACGCTTGAACATAACGCGTTTACTATGGATTTTTTAAAAATAAATCACATATTTTAAGAAAAATTGAATTTTATTTAAAATACCTTTTGATTTATTTTTATGGATTTAAAGTAATTATTGAAGAAGAAGAAAAATTCCATCTTTAATTTTTAATTTTTTTTTTCAAGTTTAAAGTAAAAATTTACTAAGTTTTGAATAAGAATTTTAAAGAGATAATCAAACATTATCAAAGCTTAAAAAATATATTTTATCCTAGGATCGAAAAAATGAAAGCCTACACTGATTATAAATAAAAAAAAGAGAAATTATTATCGAAATAAAATAAACTTTAATCCATAGACATAATTCATATGGTTGATTACTGTAGTTGGATATAGCTAAAAATGGCAAATTTGACTCCACCTAAAGGCGCTTGCCGAAAGGAAATCGCGCGTTGAGACGCAACTAAGTCTTCCGCTTTAGTAAAATTAAGCTATATTTAAGAAAAAAGCGGCTTGAAGTAATAGTTCTTGGCTAAAAAATAAGTTTATCCATTTTTTAGCCATCTATAAATCTGCTAAAACAGCCAAAACAACAATTACCCTAACTATACTCATTATAGATATCGTTTTGGTTTTACCGAAATTTATTTTTGAAACTGAAATAATATTTATATTAAATTAATACATAATTTAATCTAAACTTTTGATTAGGATTTATATAATAGTTATTTTTAAAAATCAAACATTAGGTCTACTTTCCGGATGTCGAAAGGGCTGAATGGCTGAACAAAGTAATTATAAAATATTTTGTTTCGGAATTTAACTTTTACTATAAAGTTCTCGTTTTTAGGGTTTTGTTCGGGCCCCATAAATTTCATTAAATTGCAATTTCCACTTTTTAAAAATTGATGTCTTTAAGAACGTTTGCGAATCATATTAATTTTTAAAAATAATTGTTGCCTATTGATACCCATCTCGCGTAACCTTTAAGATTAATGGTCGTTATAATCAGAACGTTCCGGAAAGACGTGAGAATTCTTAAAATCTATGAAACATGTTGGAATCTTATGATTCCTAACGTATTTCCGGGTTTAAAAATTATTATCCTATCCTATTTCCTGTTTTTTTGAAAATCTGACTTGGTTTGGGATGTGGTCTATGATTATAAGGTTTATCTTTCATCTATTTACTACTCAAATCAAGAAAATGAACTTTTGCACCCACTTTTCACCAAATATTTTTATAAATAAATATGAATTATTTAAATATTTGAATTGCTTATGAATGAATGATTTTAAGAAAATATCTGCACAGATACATTGTATATCATAAATATATTATTTCATAGATAATAAAGCAAATGTGGCCTTTCATTAATAATTACTTGAAAGTTATGATCAAAAACGATATAGAGCCAAAGGTTAAAGAGAGACTTCCCGCTATCATCAAAAATTTCTACTTTGAAACAATAGACGTCGGCGATATAGTAAAGGAAATTTTTTTATAATATCATTGTAAAAAAAAGGGTAAGAGAAAATTATTAATGAATTTTTTTTGTCATTTTATTTAAATCAATTCTGCTTATCATTTTTTAAAAATAAAATAATGTGAAACGTTTTTTTGACTCATTTAGATAGGTCTTTTTCTGCCAAAACTGGCAAAATGTTTTATAATATTGACCATCTCTCTTTATGTTGATTAAAACGTAATTGACTCATTTAGTATATCTTTTTCTGCCAAAATTGGACAAAATGTTTTATAATATTGACCATCTTTATATTGATTAAAACATAATTGAACGAACCTTATGTTTCACTGTAATTATTCAAAGTTTTTTTGATATCCAGCTGATGAATTATTTTTTTTAATAAAAATTTATACCAATTTAAATGTTGTATAATTATTTTAATTAATATAATGATTTTTGCCATTTAAAAAAGTTTAGAAAAATTTTGCCTTCTATTCATTTCGCCAAGGTTATTTATTTTTTATTAATATATTTTTCGAAATAATTCATGATGGCTAAAAGAAAAAAAAATTGTTATTTTTTAAAAATATTACATTTTTTTTCTTCTAGTTTTTGAATATAGTTAATTGGTGAATTTTTTCCCCAACGTTATCAATAAATTATATAGGCAAAAAAATCTTCTATTTTTATAATAATCATGTTTTCTTATAATTTTTTTTTCTCGAAGCCTTGTAGAATCGGTGGCATAAAGGTTTATCAAGAAAAACTCAACAGGGACGAAATAATCATAGATATGGAAATTTTGTAAAAATAAATTTTGTTTCATTTGAGTCTTTTTTTAAAAAAATATTTAAAGTTGATCATTATCGTACCAAACCCATCTCAAACAAATTTTATTTCCACCCTTCAGTAATCTCGCGAAAAAAAAATGACGTGAACCTGGTGGGGTTTGGCAGGCCTTAGGTCTCGTTTTTAGTTAGCATGAAATACAACGATATCGCTCAAGTGACGCGTAATTCGTCGCTAAACTAAACGTTAGCATAGCTGTATAATTTAACATTATGTATTTTTTAAATTTCGTATAACTTGATATAATGAATCGAACATTAATTTTTTATAAAACATTTATTTATTATTAATTTAATGCCTAAAAAAAATATTGAAGAAAGAAGCATAATAATTAAAACTTAGGCCAAATTTCTTTCAAAATAAAAGTTAAAATTTTTGAAACTAAATATTAAGCACAAAAATATTAGAAAAAACGAATTATGGAAAAATACCCCCCCCCCCCCATTTTAATATTAACCAGAGCCCTGCAGAGCTACTATTTGTACGGCCCGGACCGAATTTTTTTTGAAAAACTTATTCGACCTGGCCCGGATTTTTTTCAAAAATTTTTCCTGGCCCAGCCTGGTTTTTTTTAAAAAAAATTTCAGGCCCGAACCGTATTTTTTAAAAATATATTTTATTTATTTGATTTTTGCAGCTAAAAATGGCATCAAATATTTGGTTTTAAAATATACGGCCCGGCCCGGATATCTTTTTTAAAAAAAATTTCAGATATTAACTAAGATTAAAAAAAATTAACTTACATCTCTTTTATGGGGCTTAATAAGTCTAAATTATATATATATTATATATACACTACGATAAATTTAATGAAGTTACTGAAGATTTGAGATCATAATAAATATCGCCATATTTAAGTAATATTAATAATACATTTTAGGTTTCGGTGACCCCACCAAAGTACTGAAGGGTAAAAATGGTTCTCTTTAATGATCACTTGCCTCATGGGGACTTAATTGCCAGAACTCACGATTTAGCCTTCTTCTTATCACTCCTTTTACAAAAGATATATAGAATTTACTCTTTCTAAAAAATATATCTGGCAATCCTCACGGGCGACAAAAATTAACCGTCTATGAATTGTTAGGATCTACTTGTTGAAACTTATTTCTCATTTAAAAACATAGATGTTTTTTTTAATTGTAAACTTCAAGTGTAGGATTTGAAAAAATTGTTATAACATAATTTAATATTTAAGTATGACAATAAGAAAAATATAATCAGATCATTTTATTGGATTTCAACATTTTGTAAAAAATCCTTCTTTTTATTGTAACAACCTTTATCAAATAGGATAGATCTCATCACGAAAATTGTATAGACCCCCCACATCATTAACAAATTATTTATCTTTGATATAATTTTTTAAAAAAAATTTATTCCATTTATACAGTTTGTGTATTCAAGTTTTATTTTTTTGGCAAAATTTTAATCGATAGTTTGCCATCTTTAAATTGTTTATTTATTTAGTGAAACTTCTAGAGATAAAAAATAGATTTTAAAGATACACCGTTATCAACAAAAATTTATAAAAAAAATATCTAGGTTTAGGCTGTGTCCTGATTCGTCTTATTTCAAAATAGAAATCTGTTATATAATTTTCTCTAAACAGAATAAAAGGGGAAAAGCTATTTAGGCTTAGTATACACTTAAAACAAAACAGGATTAATGTGTTTCCCTATATGAAAAAATTAATTGAAAAATAATTTTAATTCGGTCCGAATGTTTATATTTACTATATCATAGTAATGATGAACAAAAATAACTTATATAAATTTAAAACACGGAACTCTCCCAATAAATTTGTCGAGATATATCGGACATTGTCCTCAGTCCTGATTAACAGAATATATATCGATTTATTTAGTTAATTTGTGGATTAAAAAAAATATTTAAAAGTATTTATAACTTGTATCATTATAATATATTTTAATGCTGAATAAATAATTAATCATTATAAATAAAATAATTTAATGTTAATTTAATATATACTAGTTGTACTAAAGGTCTGTGGTGTAAGCAAGTATTCAAATATTTAAAAAAAATACCCCCTCCATTGGTCAGTCCCTTAGAGAAAATACTTGATTACGAAACTGACGTCCTGCCTAATACAGTGAATGTGATTATCAGAAAAATTATCTTTCAGCCGCTTACGATTTAAATTAATAAATTATTTATGCGAATTTAATTATAGTAAATTTAGAATATTATTGAGTTTCAAAATAAATTCTCGGAATTTAAAAACTAAGAAATTTTTAATACTGGTCACGCAAATTTATTTAAAATAATAAACAAAGTTTAAAAGGGACCCTCCAAAAAATTCCCGCCCTCTTCATTTAACTCAAATGTGACATGACTCTTAAAGTTTAAAAAAATTGAAATATTTGATTTTTTTTCAGTTTTTTTGACAATATCTATATTCGGTGAAACATTTTTTAGTTACTCCGGTGATTGCGAATTTACCCTCAACGTGAACAACGTCAAAAGCGGAGTTAAAAATGTCAATTTTCACGGTGATATAAGGGCCCATATTAACCCACTCATTAGCACTATACCATTTGTTGGAGCTCTGAAGGTTTTCATGCTCAATCGACCCGCCATAGATTTCGATTTCACTAATATAGCTAACGCTCTGGATATCCCTGGATTGGCGTTTAAATTGATTTTTTTTTAAAATCTTAAATAGAAAGAAAGAATGATTAAAATAAAACGAAATAATGAAGAGTATAGATGATAATGGGGGGTGGGGGGGGGGGTAAAGTCATAAGTGAGGGGTTAGAAGTAAATTTAAGGAAGAAGGTTTGCGTCAGGCTGGTAGCCAGCATTAAAAATCCTCACCACCAAAGATGACAAGTCCTATATATTAAAATTTAACTTACTTATTTTTTTTTAATTGGTCATTTTTTTGTTTAATATAAGTGAATTGATACGTAAAATAATGTTGGACGTGGTGTCATCCATGCTAGTCTTACCTAACAAATTCGGATTAATCCTTTCTAAAGACGTCGAATCGCAACAGATCAAATATTTAATTCCAAAAGTTTTAATAAAATTTGTATTTTATTCTTAAGGATATATGTTACGTTATGAAGTATATTCACATCTTCCCTGCATCAACATATTTTTTAGATTTAGACCAGGCCCGTTTCGACCCCGCTGCTCGAATTTCAATAAAAGCGTATATAGAATTAATTTTTAAAATATTTATTTTAGTCTGTTTTGATGATTCATATTCAAATAATCAGCAATAACTTTGAAAATTTAGTCACCTGATTTTTTTAAAAAACTTTTCTAATTTTTTTAAGATCCATTTTATAATTGGGATAATATTTCAGGCAAACTAAAACGGGAAGTATAGGAAGGAAAGGAAATATATAATTTATATTTTTCGAGAAGTCTAGGAAGGAAAGGAAATATATAATTTATTTTTCGAGCCACAGGTCGGGCCTGGGCCTATATTTAATAAATGTTACCCCCACTTGCTGGTTGGGCTGAGGGGCCGGTTTTATAGGAATTCATATTGTATTTAAAATGGTCAAAAATAGTTTAACAAAATAAATAATACAGTTTGGGCTTGTAGTGTTAGAATTTTTTTGACCGTTTTAACTTAGTAAATATATATCCGGACGAGTAGTTTATTTTTCTTCAAATTTTTAAAAGAATTTGTAAACGTCACTTAAAAATTATCCCTACTTCATTACTTTAAGAAGAAAAAGATTAGTATCCTTTATTTACGAATAATAAAAAAAAAATTATAAAATATTTTGAGATTTTAACTTTTAACCAAATATTTTATAGAAATTACATAATTTATATTATTAGGGTGCCATTAGGATCACCATCTATTCTGCCCATAATCTAGTCAACGCTGATATAAGTTTATTGGGCAAAGGAAAATCCGACCCTTACACAAAGATTTATAGTAATTTTTTAAAAATATTTATTGACCCCAACACCAGATTTTCCTGAGCTGACAAGGCATTATAGTATATAAAAATGAATATATTTGCTTGCCCAGCAAAAATTGAGCTCAATATAAGTTTAACAGGAACGAATTTCAGCCTAACATAAACACCGATTTAAAAAAAAAGTATTCTAGGCCTGTCCAATACCCCTAAAACTGAGATTCCGATATATACTCACGCGGTTTTTTTCCCAATTAATCGTTGGGGGGGGAGGTAGGAAGCTCCATTAAATGAACTGACATTTGATCATTCCACCAGTTCTATGATTAAAAAGATTTCTAGAATTTATTAGCTTTATTTTGTTGATTTATGGATTTTAAATGTTCAAATTTTTTTATATAAATATACTAATAAATTATATTACATTTATATTACCTTTTTAAAGTCGGGGCGAAAGAATTCCAAACCTCGATAATAAACGACAACTTAGACCCGGTGTGGAATGAGGCTTTTGAAGTACGAATATAATTGAATGCTAATATATTATTTTTGTAGGACTTTAAACGATCACCACCCAATACAAATCCTATAAATATTTATAAAAAAATTAATATCTAATTCATTTTTTATACCAAAATAGTGACTGTTTATTTTTGATATCATGTTTTTTTGCTGGCTAGGCCAATTTAATTTAAAATTTCAGCAGAATATACTCTATAAATATTTTATTTTGCAGGCTATAATAGACGAACCATTTGGCCAACGAGTAGAAATATCCATTTTCGACCACGATCCAAATAAAGATGACTTCTTGGGAAGGTTTTTTTATTTAAAAAAATTTTTGTTTTTTATCCTATTAAATCATTAACTTGGCTTTGGTTTAGCGATTTCTACTAATTGTCACTATGACAAAACATTTTATAATAAAACGAAACTAGTTGTACATTTCAGGTGAGGCAGGAGAGTTATGTACAAGCAAAATAATTTTTTGGAAACTATTTTCGATATCTAGATTCTTATGGACAGGGGAGGGTATTCAATATATAATTTTTGCCTTTGATATAAACTTCTCGTTCTGATTCAAATTTATGCAAAATAATTTTATACATGTATCGTGCAGAATTGAAATTGACATCGAGGCAGCCATGAAACAAGGCATCATCGATACGGTATATATTTTCTTAAAATAAATAATATCACAATATCATTTTAATGAATGGTCGAATAACATTTTGACAAAAAAAACTACCTTTTGGGCATTTGCAATTTATAAAAGGGGTAACCTCATTAGTCAATCTTATTCTGTAAAAAATACAACACCTTATGAATTCATAGATGACCAGAAATGGTAAATGTATAAAACCGAGCATCTATGACTGAAAATCAAATTAGTAAATGCGGAAAAATGCTTATAAGCAGGTTATACTATGTTTCAATGCTATTCGGTTATTAAGTTTTCATCTCTCAAGGACGAGATACACTGGACCTAAACTGTCGTCAAATCTTAAATAGTTTCGACCGGTTTTATAAAAATAGCCAGGTCTTATTCGATTCCTATATGCTTTTTAGTTTGTTTTAAACATTTACATAGAATATCTATAAAATCTTAGTTCTCATTTTAAAATTAGTACTTATTAATTTTTATAATTTATATTGATATAACCATTTATTATAATATTTGCAAAAAAAAATTATACCTTGTTTGCCGTGGGGTAAAAAATGAATTATTTTGAATGTTGATCATTTTTTTACAATATTTTATTAAATTAAATTATAGGTAATAAAGGATTTAAGTTATTTAATAATAAATATATAGGGCACAACTTGGACAATTACTGACAATATAATTAAACTCGACCTGATAGCGGCGCACATCTCTTCTTGATTTTTGTTTATCGGCATTAATAAGAGAGATAATCTATTTTTTTTAAATTCAGTTGTGCCTATACGGACTTCTAAATTTGTAAAACCACATTCTGTAGTTATATTTTATTTAAATATTAATTGTGCAGCTTAAGATTAGTTATTGTATTTATAATGTATTCAAATTAGTTGTTATATTATATTTATTGATCGTTATTGAAGAAATAATATGTAATTCCTATATACTTTTTTACACAATATTAACAATCCATATAATAAATATCTTCGCGTAGAGAGATCTGATTTATCTGTCATTTTAAATGCTGATCTAACCTATATGGTTGATAACAGGGCAATATTCTTATCAAGAGAAAATAATAGAAATAACATATTTCTTCAATTACGATTAAGAAATATAATATTATAACTAATTTGAATACATTATAAATACAATAATGGGCATTAATCTACATTATTAATATTTAAAATAATATAATAAATATAATGTATAATATTGCACATTCTTTCTTAAATCAAGAATTAGTTATTTTATTTTACTTATAATATACTTATCAGGAATGTTAAAAGTAAAAGCAACGGCGTTCTTGCTACTCTTATTTTTAAAAGAAATGCTTTTAAAAAAATTTTAAAAAATCGGTTGATAAATATTTTACAATTTAAAATGTGTTTTAACTTTGAAGACCTTCAAACTAGAAGATACCAAGCACGGTGACATACACATGAGACTGGATTGGTTGAGACCCATTGTACCGTTATCAATGTTAGGAACCCAAAAGGACGAGGATTCAGAAAATGAAGACCCTAGTCATAATATTAGAAAGGTTTATGCACATTTGGTAAATAGACGAAAGATATTTGAAAACCTTTGCTGGAATAAGGAGATTTTATATGGGAGAATGTTAAAATATTTATTCTGGAGATGTTCGAAATAAGTTTTTTTAAAATCATCATTAAATGATTGATGCGTAGTAGATACAGATGAATATATTATTATAAAAAAATTTAAAAAAAATAATAGATCAAAACCGAAAATCTTGCCCTTCTCAAACGAGAACTGCAGTACATAGATCAAGAGTTTACGCGAAAAAATATTAGGGGTTTCTTATCTACCGCCATATTGGTGGTTTACGTCGATTCTGCTAAAGCTTTACCAGTTGGTGTTTTATATATGTTTTTTTTTAAAAATTGATTTAATTTCTTAAATCAATTATATTTGCTGCATTTTAAAGTCAATATTTATTCGTTTATAGAACTATTTTGAGCAGAAATTTTTTTCTTTTTAAAATAAATCACAGTTTTATACACTGTCATAATTATCGCAAACACACTAGTTAATTAAATTTACCAAAAAAAACATTTTTTTTATTTTAAGAAAATGAAAAATTTTTCCACAAAATTATTTAGGTTAGAGATTTGCATATGCAAAAAATATAACCCCTTCAAATTATGTGTCCTACGCTTAATATAATTTTTAATTTATAGATATTTAAAAAAAAAATCGATAAGAAATAGATTACTTGTCATTTTTAATTCAAAAATTTCTATGACCATATCAATTATATGACCCTTTACTTTCTTCCTTAAACTCATTTTCACCTACTTTTTTTTACTTATCAATTTATTACTCGTAGTTTCCTAGGGACGTGGCCACGGAACCAAGCCCTTACGCCCTCCTCACCCTTGCTGGGAGTGATGGTTCAGCCGGTAACAGCCCTAGCAGCAACGATATAAAAAGCAAAGAACCAGCCCACAAAAGCAAAAATCTTGTTGAAGCGGCGCTAGGACGCGAAAGCTACGATTCTTCGGGTAAAGGAGGTTATAAAACCGAAGCACAGCCTAAAACAACTAACCCGGTTTGGGAGCAATGTTTTACTTTGCTTATCAATAATCCGTTGCTGGCTACACTTAATTTAGAGGTTTGAGACCAGCATATTCATTTTACACTTTACATACAAATTTAATATAAAAAAACCAAGTACCCCCCCCCCCCCCCCCTTTAACTTGAATGAACGAGATCGCATTTGAATATGTGCCTAATCATTTGATACACAAATAAAATTATATAGCAAATTTACAATTTTTAAAATAAACTTCTAATCAAACACTCAGGTGAAGGACGAAAAAAGCGGTAAAATCCTGGGCTCTATGAATTACTCCATCGGCAAAATTTTGGAAGAACCTAATTTCGATAAAGCTGGAAATTTCCCGCTCAGTTCTAAAGGCTATAACGATGCTAGAGTATCGCTCATCATGTCATTAAGGGTTATTTTTCCTTTTTTAAAAAATAAACAATTTAATATAATCTATGTTTAGGGCGATTTATAGTAAACACGTTTTACGGTAAAATTTAAAAGTATATAAAGTGGTCGAGGATTAGAATAGAATAATCTACGTCTATATATCAATTTAGGTTAACCATAAATTTTGCTTTTAGATGGTTATATTTAGACATGTGCGCCGACAGCATTTTCGGCGGCGGCGCGGCGGCGTCAAATATTTTTCTAACTTAAATTTTTTTAAGTAAATTTATAAATTCATTGGAAACATTTTTAAAATAAAATTTATACTTTATTATGTTTATAACTATAATTTAATGATTTTATTAAGTTATAATTATCATGAATAAATATTATTTTATTAAGATTTAAAGGACATAATAATAATCTTTTAGAGTTCAGAGTGAGCCCAGCTATAGAAAATACACGCTCGCTGGGTGTGCTTGTAGCTGGAACGCACAGGACCTTTCTAGCTAATATTGAAAGTTTAGGAAGATCCAATGCTCTTATCTTCCAAAAATCTAAGACATCTTTTATCTCCAAATTATAAGGCGAAAATAATGAATAACACTCTTTTTCTAAACTAGTTAAATAGTGTTGTTGTTCCAGGTTATTGTTTTGAATAGATGAATGCTTCGTAGCCAATGACTTAAGATAATCGAGTTTTGAAGCAACTTCCGTCGTTTTACATTCGTTAATTCGTCCGTGTAAGACCGTAGAGAGGTAGCGTGTTGACATAAAAATTCAACCGGAGTAATATTTTTTTCCTTTAAATATTCATTTACTATGTTTATTGATTGAAAACGAGGATCCAAAAGTGCTCCTAACACCTAAGTAAAAAAAATAAAAGAAAGAATAATGTATAAAAAATAATTTATGTATTTTAAAATACTACCTGAAGATCGGTTATTGGAAATCTATGATCAAATTTAGTAAGCATATTTTGTTTAAGGGATGCTATGGGTGGACTATCATTTTCTTTTACAATTAAATGATTTTTAATTTCACTACGAAATAAAATGGCTAAATTTATAGTAACTCCTTTTTGGACAGATAAAAATTCAACAGTTTGTTGGAAGGTTTTAAGAAAATTTAAAAGTTCATACACCAAGTCCCAATCGGAGTTAAATAATTTGAGATCCGGTTTCTCCATTCTATTTAATAGAATATTTATAGGATTTTTGTTATTGCCAGTCACACTTTCCAGCATTATTAAAATACTATGCCAACGTGTAGGCACATTTAATTTTAAGGTTTTATGTTTTTTCTCATATGATTTTTGATTTTCACTATCATCATCATACCCCAAACGATCTTCATAAAAAGGATCATTATCATCCAAATCTAAAATATCCGATGTATATGATATCGATTCAAAACATTTTCTATTTTCTATATCGTTTATATTTTCAAAATCCGCTGTTTTGAATCTTAAGGCAACTATAACTTCTCTAACTTTTTTAATGAGATTTTCAATTTTATTAACTTTTTTTATTCCATCGACTGTCACTAGATTATGTAATCCATGCCCCAAACATAAATGATAGTCATATTCTCCTAGACGAACACTTTTCTTTACATTGGGTCCTGCATCCGTAACCATTTGAATTTTCTTGGACCCTAAATCAAATTCATTTTCAACTTTTTCTATTTCGAAAAGAATAGTTTCAGCGGTATGTTTTTGGGTGACATGATGTGTCGCCAATGTATAAAATACAATATTAAAATTATTATCTATTTCGTGAAAAGTAAAGGTGATATAATTTCGCCGTCTATATTTGTCTGTCCACATATCAAAAGTTATAGCACAAAATTTAGGACCTACATTAATTTGTTGGCATATATGTATGCTTTCATTGATAAATAAACATCATCTAATCCACTCCGGCTAAGTGTAGTTCTGTCAGGTAATTCTTTGGCATCTGAAATAATGCCATATTTCTACATAATAAAAAGTTAATAATAAAATATTATGCCATAAAAAATTCTAAATGTGGGATGTTATAAAATAATTAAATATCTTAACAAATAAAAATTAAGATTGCCCTATAAAAAATTATAATGATTTTACAAATAACCTTTAGAAAATCTTGCATTCCAGTATTATTTATAGAAGAGAATGGCATTAAATCCTTGCAACACATGAGAACCTAATTCCTTACCAGAATCCATTTTTTATCTTTTATAGGGTCAGTTGTATCTTTTACAATGGGTTTGAAAAATAACTTTAAATTTTGTTTAGATATTTCTTCTTTACATGATAAATCATGTGTGTCAAGTAAATGTTTTATTATATTTGATGTGCTGATATTTTTTGAAAAAGATTTGATTGGATAACTAATTAAAAAATTTACTAATATTTATAAAATAATCAAAAAATTTACTCTGAAAATGAAGAATTATTTTCATCCTCACCATCTTTATCAAGTGCTATTTGCAAGCATATATTACAAAAGACTTTATCTGTAGCAACACTGGTTCTCTTATTATTTGTGTCAGTTTTTAATATTAAGGATCCAAAATGTTTCCATGCAAAAGAAGGTTTTGCTTGCAAGGATATACTATATTGTTACAGGGTATTGCAATGCTGCATCCATTATAATTGTTTTAGTCCTGGTATTTTTATATATGTTATAATGGCAACAAAATAAAAATCATTAAATAAAATTTCTATTATGATAAAAAATAAATTTTATATAACGAGTTGTAAATTATTTGAATCAAAATAAAAGAATAAAATATAGATTTACCTTTTCAAATTTAATATCCTAATCTTATTTTATCTAGCACGTTGGTCACAAACCTGCCCAAAATGAGCGAATAAGGATTGTTACAAATCAAATTTATAGCAAATAATATTTATTAATTTAAAAAAATAAAATCGCATTTTTTAATAATTCAAAAAATATTTAATATTTTTCTTATATTCATAAATAATATATAAAATAAATAATAAAAAATATGTATCACGCCGCATGCCGACAATTTTTTGGCGCGCGGCGTCGGCGTGGTCAAAATAATCGGCGGCGGCGCATTTTACCGGAGGCGCACATGTCTAGTTATATTAATATGCTGGTATCATTAATTTCATCACAATCTACTTCTTATAGCATTTTTATTTTTAAAGTTATTAAAAAAATATAACCCATATAAAATCAAGTTTCTGAAGAGTGGACCCGACCCAGCGAGCAACAAATCAGAAGACGTCAATGTAGCAAGTGATACTTACAAAAAAAGAGACACAGTCTCTTACGATGATTATAAACGATATACTGCTAGCGATGATCCCAATGCCAAATCCGTTAATCAATTGGGGTAGTTAATTATAAAATTTTAAAAAATATATATAATTTACTTTATTCATATTATTATATTATAATTTATAATAGCGACCATGATTATTATGATGACAAATCTAACATTCCTAACCAACAATATCGAGACGTTAGAAGGGTTGACCAAAGGTTTGAAAAATTATAAGATACCACTAACTTTTCCAGTGACGTCGCTAGCGCATCGCCATTTAGGCTTATCAAAAAGTCTTAACTTTAATTTATTGAAACGTACTTTGAATTAAACTCTAAATAGTGCCGAGCACACTTTGGTCCCTTCCTTTCCCAGCGATGTCGCTGAACCGGACTTCTTTACCTTAATGTTAATTCGTGAAGGTCAATTTGGGACTGAATCTATTTTCAAAAAAAATATCCGGTTTGATCTTTTGTTATCAGGTTTCGATCAGATGCTAAAATTTCGTTTCCTTTTGCTCTTTTTTAATTTCGCTTAAAATTAATGAAGGAATATATGATTAAATTATCAAATTTATTTAAAACAGTAAAAAATGACTTATGTTGTTTTCTCATCATTTTTTTTGTATTCTTTTACCTGTTTTAAATTGTTGTCAATTTTTTTATTTTTTAATTCGGAGATATGATTATATTTGGAAAAGGTGATATTTGACCGAAAAAGTAAATTTGTATATTAGCATTTAAAAACGCACTTCAATTAACTTGATATTTATTTTTACCGTTGGGTCAAAGGGTTATTCGTTTATTTAATCCCCCTCTCCACTTTTTTTAAAAATTTTATATAATAAAAACAAAGAAATTATGATTGCTTAAAATGTTTTTTTGTATCGTGCTAATAATATTTATTATTAGTTTGAATCAGGATGACGTCAACTAATCAAGTAGCGTCTTGATTAGCTATGTACAAATATACATAGAAATAAGGAATAAGCAACCCCAAAACTTTTTTAGTTGGTTCCTCTATTATAGCTACTGATATTGAATATTTAATTTTTTGGGGGTGCAGGAGTATTCGTGGAATTGAGTGTGGCGTCTTAACCGAAAGACATCTTAACTCGGGCTTTCAGTCATCGAATTAATTGATTCGCTTCTTTTTTTAAAAATATAACCTTGCGTTTCTTGGGAATCTATAACAATACAATTCCGAATAAAATAAGCCCACAATAAGTTTAAGGCACGATACATTCTTTATTCGTAAGTAAGCAACGGAATCTGATGAATATAATCACAAAGCCACACTATCATTTGTGTCTATTTATTTATTGGAGGTCTGACCGAAGTCTGGCTAGCGGATCTGACAACTTGTACAACATATTTCTTTACGGGCTAGTCTTGAAATTCGCGAAAAAAAATTTTAAGATTAGAATGAGACAAATTTTTCTTTATAAAAAATTATTGCAGTCCAGGGCCAGATAATTTCTTAAAAATTATTTTAAGGACAGAAAAACTTTTTCAAAAATTTCAACCCCAGGGCTGCACTTTATGAGTCAAAATACCGTTGTCAACGATAACTATCACATTTATTTGTAAATAAAATATCAGGGTCTAAAAATAAAAATTGATTTAATTTAGATCAAATGATTATTTATTTTAAAAAATCATCGATTAAATTTATTTATTTCAACTAAACCTAATAATTATCAAAATTTATCACTTACAAATCATTTCATATTTTACTATAAATACCCTTTGAATATTATTTAAACTTATTTTAACAGTTTTTTAAGCAAAAATTATTTAGTGGCCTTTCCTATGCTTAAAAATTATAATATTAATTTTTTTTTCTTTAACTTATTAAATCATATATTTTTAACATTAATGAACAAAAAATTAATTATAAATTTCATGGATGATCAAATATGTAGGAAAATAAGATAGGTGTAAGGATTTTGTGATTGAAAATCAGAATCTAAAGATCTTTTGAGGCAGTTGACCTTTTGAAATGTCAATTTAAGGATTTCTTCACAAATTTTAAATATTGTCTATGAACTTTGATACGTTAATATGTTATGGCTAGCCTCATTATATTTTTATATGTAACAAATTGATTATTTCTAAAATATTTAATATTATTTTCCTTTACATTTTTTACCGCTAAAATATATGAGTTAGTATATTTTACTAATAGTATTCCTTATCTTCAGCATGTTTATGCATTATCAATAACTATGCTTGAACCCTGCAATTAAAATCAATTTTGCATTTTATAATGTGACATATTTTTTATTGTAAATTTAATTTTGGCAAATGTTAAAAAAATACTTTTTTTTTATATATTTAATAATATTAATAAAGATACCACATATATACTAGACGGTATAAAAATTTTACTCTTTTTATCCCCACGTTTAAAGCTTTGATTATATAAAATTGATCTTTTATTTTTAACTAATTTTTTTTTTTAAATCAATGATTTAAATACACTTTGTTAAATATATAATTTTATAATAATTTGAAATTAAAAAATGATAGTTATATTTATAAAAGAAAATGGGTGTTATTTAAATTCTTAGTAATTATTTCATAGTTTTTTTAAAATAAAAACGAGTCCATTAATATAAAAACATTTAACGGCCATTTTTATGATAAATATTAACTTTAACCCTGCTCTCTTCCTAAAATGCTTACGCGTGGAAGTGGGTTTCAGAAGAAAATGGTCACATACTGACCTGTTGAACTTTCTAAATGATAATATTAACTGTTCAGTTTTTTTTTATTCATTGGGTTAAAAAGTAAATTTTATTTTATTATTAAAATTAAATCGCAGAAATGACCAAGAACGATCAGACCTCATCGACTCGAAGGAAAGTGGTATTCCTACTGGAAATAGAGTTATGACACGTAAAAGTCTATCGTTGATCCACAATAACACTTATTCTAATAATCAAGAATTTTTAAAGCAAAGGAAAAACACTGTGTTAGTTTTTAAAAAAAAATATATAATATTTTATCTTTTTCGTAAATATTTCATGACTATACCTTCGAAACATTTCCAATAAGATACTTGTGATAAATTCCTTCATAAAGTATCTATATGTAGTACCTTTAAAAAAAATTGTTAGATTCTATTTTAAAATTTAGGGGGAAAACAAAACAAAATTATTAGATATTTTGTTATAAAACAAGGAATAATTAAATGAATTTAAATTCTTTCGTGCAAAAATGATAATAATAATAGAAATTTAAGATAAGGAAAATCAAAATAAAAATTCCATAAGAAAAATTGACATGCTTTTCTTTTCTTTTTAGAAGCCCTCGTGTGTTACTAACATTTTATCACGATGATGCTCGTAACAAACTTATAGTGCTGCTGGAACGTGTAGAGTAAAAAAATATTTTCTTTAAAAAAAATAAGTTTTCAATTATATACGAGTGAAACCCATTAGACCATTGACATATATCCAAAGAACGGCGCACCAAAATGAAAAGGTCCCATCGAAATAAAGACCAATTTCAAAAGACTAAACTGAAATCATTTTATTATCTTAAATTTCATAACTAAAAAAATATATCGAGTTTTTCTTCCTCTTTAAAACTTTTTTGGGCAATATATCAAATGAAATTTCGTTGTTTTTATTCCGATCAGAATTTATTTAAATTTGAATTAAATTATGTTAACATAACATAAGTTTTATAGAACCCCCCCCCCCCCCCCCTTCTCCCCTTAAACAAAGTCATAAATATATATAAAAAAATTTAAATAATATTTTCACCCATCATAGAAGCCACAATTAATCATGATTATAATATATCAGAGACCAATAAACTCTTACCATAACGCGGTTTGTGGCATATTAAAATCTTAGCCAAAAAAATGACATACTGACCGGATTTTTAATAAATTTAAATTATACAAATAATTAATCAGCTGATAAAATACGCGACCGATTATTTAATCGTCATTTGCTTCCCTTATTTTTGATGACTAAATTTTAAAATAGTATGCGCATGCCCCTGTATCTGATATATGAAATGAACTATTTTCACATTATTTTCATTTAGAAACTTGACTCCTATCACCAAAAATCCCGATCCCTATGTCAAATTCGAGCTCTTACCTGCCGATGGCAAAGAAGTTAACAAGAGGAAAAGTATCGTTATCAAAAATTCTACAAATCCCACATTTAACGAAAAGTAATACATTCACATATTTCTTTTTTCTTTTTTTTCAGAAAAAAAGGTATAAACATTTGTAATTTGAGCTAAAAATTTGTATTCAGAGTGCTCTAATTAGTTAAATTGCATTACCTTATATTTTTTGAAATTTTGATTTGCCGGAATTGTATTTCAGCATGTAAATAGATTCTATAAATTTCAGACAATTATGTGTTTAACTTTAATATATAAAGATCTTTTGAAAATTAAATTCAAAATTTTATGATGGACCTCTGAATTTTTTTTAAAAGTAGACTCCATTAAAGTCCTGCAGGGCAGGCGGTAAGATCATAATTAAAACATAAAGTCTGACCCATGGTTCAAATAATATTAATGATTTATTTCCTTCCTATTCTCAGGGACCCGTAGGAATAATCCGCTAAACCTTTATAAATATCTGAACCATAATCAAACCGATATAATTATTTTTTGAAGGAGTAAAAAAGAATCTTTATAAAAAATTTTAAAACGGGTTGAACTAAAATAAAATAAATAATTTCCATTTTTTTGCATTATTTTCCTTCTGGTGTATTACATATTTTACTATATCTCCGTCGGTAATTATTAAATGATCAAAATATTTATGTGATTCCTTAATAAATTATGTATTAATTTTTTACCTATGGCTTGAATTTACCCTCAATCTTTCAACTGCTTCATATAGTGTTAGAGAATTTCTATTTTTTTTTGTGCAGGGATGTGAACCTGGCAAAATTTTTTCCCGGATTTGGTTCGGGTTCTGTTTAAGGTTAAAAAAAATAGGTTGGTTAGGTTCGGGTTCGGTTCAGGGAAATATTTTTGAACCCGGGTTTGGTTCAGGGAAATATTTTTGAACCCGGGTTTGGTTTCGGGTTCAGCTCGGGTTTAAGAATTTTTGAATTGATATAAAAAAATATTCAATAATTAGATCATAATTAAAAAACTAGACATAAATTTTGTCTAAAAAATAAATTTTTTATTTTATTTATAGGCAAAATATAGTTAAAAATACAAAGCATAGTCATGTATAGATTTAAAAAAATTTATTTAGGCGTATTTCTTTAAATTAACGGTATCTAATATAATAAACTTTGACTTGTTCACTTTCATTTTCCTCTAATTAATAATCTTTGAGAATAAGTTAAAAATTAAAAATAAATGGCGTAAATGAAAATTGTTTAAAATTTATTAATGAATCTTTGAGAATAAATTTAAAAAAATTTAATTTAAAATTTATTAACACTTCACTCAATGGTAAATTTGAAAATATTATAAAATGTTAAGTAAATTATTAATATTTGTATTTACAATTATAGAAAAATCTTATATTAATTTATACAATACACTTAACTCGGTTGAACCCGGGTTCAAATAAAATTCCCGGGTTCGGTTCGGGGTTTTGAAAATTTTATAAACGGGGTTCAGGTTCGGATTCAGATTTTTCCCCAAAAACCAGGGTTTTCTTTTCCGGGTTCGGGTTTGGTTCGAACCCCTGCTTTTATGCAAAATATCTAAATTATATTATTTATAGAATGGCATATGAGTATATTTTAAAGTAGTAGTAGTTATAGGCTTTATTATAAAAAATAGATTTTGTATTGTCAATTTATTATGAATTCTAATTAGTTTATTAAGATCAAAATTTTACAATATTTGTTTGCTCTAAGTCTGACCTCATATTTTTTTTGTATGGAATTATGAATATCCGACAATTTAAGAGGTTAAGTTTCAGGGATAATAAAGGAAAAGGCAACGGCGTCTTTACTCTTTTATAGTATTAGAGCCTATTTTATATATCATAATATGCAAAATATCTAAATAATCAATTGATTAAGTTGCATTTATTTAATTAATCTAAGTATAATATCACTACACATCCTGAGTGTGAATAAAGGCCATTATTCCCATATAAATTTCAAAATGACCAAATTTATAAGGTTTTAATTATATATTATTTATAGAATTTTGGTATATGAGTATATTTTAAGGCATTTCCAATAACAATATGTCATTGGGCATTTCTTAGTTGTAAGGAGTTGTAAATTTTTAAGTAATAATATCCATATGATCTGGCTTTAAAAATTGACAGTGAATTTTAATTAGTTTATCAATATAATAATCATACAATATTTGTTTGCTTAGATTTCTTATTTTTTTAGTGTATTTATGTTAAAAATACATAAAAATTTATTTTTTGCTTTTAGAAATTTAAATGGTTTGTTCCAAACTTAACCTAGTCTTTCATTTTTCACTTATAATTTTCTCTTAAATGAATCAAACTGTAAGATATATTGCAAAATCATACTTAGAAGTGATCATGGAACTAATTTGGAAAGGTATCATTCTAGATATATGAATCCCTACCTACAAACAAATTAAAGCTTTCCGAGCCTCTTTTGCAATCAATATCGAAACCTAGCTATAATATTTCTCTTGAGCAGTCATTGAATTCTATCATTAGAAATAAAATGGATAAATACACAGTAGTAAATTCTTGCACAGAACTGATTTCTGTACATGGCAATGGCGTAACCAGGATTGATCCATGGGAGGGTTTTTAAAATTTTATTGGGGGCTTCGCCCTCAAACCGCATTTTAAAAATTGAACCACTATAGTAGCCAGCTTAAATGAAAAAAATATTAGTAACAAAATTTTGGCCAAATTTATGATTAATATGCGACTGAAAGCATTATTCTGAAAATTTTATCAATGTTTAGTCAATTGTAAATTAATTCAATTCATTCGGTGTAGTAAGAAGTATAAAATCGCCCTCCAAACCTCTCATTTTTTTACTCAATATATCTTATTTTATGTTAAAATAATTATTTTAATTAAATTTTTGCATATATATTTAGCAGAGAATTTCATTATAGATTTTATTTATTATTTATACAATAAAATAAATTTCAAAATGTATAAATTTTATACAAATTATATTAAAAATTTTTTCTAAATAACTATATTTAAAAAAAAATAGAATTACAATAAAATGAGTAATTCTTGTGCGGTATTTAAAAAAATCTAATTTAACAATTATTATATAATTAATACAAATGAGTGTATTAATAAAACATAAATAATTCTTATTAGAGATCCGCAAAAGTAGGAAGATCGGGCTGGGTCGTGCCTAATATTTTTAAAAAAAATTTGGGCCGGGTTGGTCGGGCCTTGGAATTTTTTAAAATATATCTAAATATATCATATGTTAAATTTTTTATGTAAAATAAAAATATTTGATTTTATTTATATAAACTAGACGCCATATAACATATATCTTTTATTTTGAGTAATTATAAAAATGAATTTCTATATTTAAATAAATTCGGGCCAGGTCGTCAACTTTTTAAAAAAAATTTCGGGTTAGGGCCGTCAAAACTTTTTTAAAATAATTTTGGGCAGGGCCTGGCTTGATAAATTAGGCCAGATGCAGATCACTAATTCTTAGTGCAAATGCAATATTTTTATTAAAAATAGTATAATATATAAATATTATGACTAAGAATTCATTATAATTACGTTTTGAATATAAAAATTTTGTGACTAAGATCATATTATAATTATATAGCAATTTTATAATTTAGAGAGGTCTACTTTTCTCTGAGATTTGACTAATTCATCTAGAATCAAATTTTTATATAGAATATCTCCTTATAAATATTTAATATTGCGAATCCATTTAAACGGCTTTAACCGGCGCTATTTCTTAAATAGGTTTTTAACCTTTTCAAAGATTAAAAAGACCTTTCATTAGTGCAGGTGCTAATCCGTAAGGTAGCTAAAATAAAAAGCAATGTTTTGATATTAGGCAGGAATCTAAAGTGCAATTATACATGGAAAGGGACTGCAAAGCATATTTTGATCTCAAAGAGTACTCTATTCTGTCAAAATTTTTATACCAAAATTCGACATCACAAAGTAATTATCATACGATCCTGATAATTTGTCAGAATAAAACTCTGAGATTTTCTTAATATCCTCTCGCGTTTAAAGTGTATTTAGACTCAACCGGCAAAGGAAAATAAAAGCTGTTTAAAATAAAATTGTGACTAATAAATCTTTCCTTTAATTGAAATAAAAATGTATCAATAAGGGGAGTAAAAATATTTATTTTATATTCTCAATCATAGATTCATCAATATTTAAGCGATTGGACTATCTAGAAACTACTCTAGGTTTAAAATTTTTAATCCCAAACATTATCGATCACCTTTACTTTCTCATTATAAAATTAAATGATTTTTCTTCTGTTGAAAGGGCCTTTCCGGGGCTAAGATTTGTGTTATCGTCACAACGAACAAATGAGAATGAAGCCACTTATATTAGAAAATATATTAATTACACGTTCAGTTCAACTACCATTTTTATAATTTAGTATGTTAAATAATTTTTTTAATATTATTCATAGATACTTATAACAAAAATAAATTAGTAATGGCAAAAATTTTAATAAATAATATTCATAATTAAAATCATTATCCGATGGTGTTGCTTCAATAAAAAAAAAATTCTAACTGTATTGAATTTTTATAAACCTTTACAATTAGCTGAACCGAACCGAAACTTTATAAATTTTTTCTTATGAACCGTAACCGTTATAATTTTTTATATGCTGAACCGTTATAAATAAAGGTTCGGGTCCCTGCTATTCTTCATTTGTTCACCTGATTGAATAATTACAATTATAAAATAAATCTAAAAATTAAGGAAGGTTAAAAAATTTTTTATATATAATAAATTTAATAAAATAGATAAACATTATTATAGTGATTGCTTGAATATTTATTAAAGCAGCATTAAAATAGAGAATAAAATATTTAAATTTTCTTCCCTAAAAACTTAAAAATTAGGGCCTTTGAAAAAAATTGCAGGCTTATGTCAAAATTTTTGATTTTGCAGGTCTTGCGGCATTATGCAGCTGCTGACATAATTCCGGCAAAATTAAGTCTAAAAATATGCGCTATAAATTATTAATATTTTAAAAATATACCCTACGACATATAGACATAGCTGGTAATTCTAATTTTTTTTTCTATATGCTAATATATTATTCTTACTTTTTTTATAATAAAATAAATGTTTTATTCACTTCCTAAATGAAAATTAAATTTTTTCAAAATTGATATAGCTCGACGGTTGAAAAAGAGAAGGAGGAGAGTGTATATATTAATTCATTTGTTCATCCTATTTTTTCTTTGCTTAGGCACAAATTTTTTAAAGTTCTTTTCTCTTCTAAGTTCCTTCCTTCCGAAAGAATCTTTCTTTAGAAGGAAAAATTGTCACCATTTTGATGCCACATATATTTAAAAATATATATTTTAGATTTGAATGGACCTGTACCTTTGAGGAATTACCATATAAACGATTGTTAGTGGCGGTTAAAAGTGAGGGTGGATTTTTGTCTTCTGGTCCTACTCTCGGATCGGTTAGTTTACATTATTACACATATATAAATATAATACATAATTATTTTATATTATCGAATATTTATTCATTTTTTAATCTCAAAACTTTTTTTAATATTTTAATTAAATTTCACCATTTTCTTCTTTCAAAATTCATAATTGAAGGTGGAGATAAACTTAGGACAAATTGAATTCAACGAAGAAAGAGGCGTATGGTAAAAAATTTATACATTGATTTATATTTTTTTAAATAATTTATTATTAAACGAATAAAAAAAGGTTTCGGCCTCATAAAAATTTTAATGGATTTTGGTTCCAAAAATTAAATTTAAATAAAAAGTTCCCTGATATTGGTTTCATTTTTTTTAAAATTAACTTAAACATTTTAAAAAAGCATAGCATGTTGTTTTTCTGGTATATTTTTTTTAGCATGATTTTATATGTATTGTAGTAGTAAATTTTTACTACTATTACAAATAACTTAGCATATTTCTAATGTCAATTTAATTTATTATATGAATTACCTATTTATACCTTATATTTTTCTATTGCTTTGCAGTTGTCTTTTAAGATTTTAATTGAAATAAAAAATATAATTCATCTTTTTGAAAATTTTATTATTACAAAAACAAGGTTTAATTTAATGCCTAGTAAAAAGATCCCTTGCTTCAATTGGTTTAAGCATGTGGTGCATACTAAACATAGACATTCTGAATGAACATTTTGATTGGATTAAAATTAATAAAATACAATTATATTCAAATATAAATTTTATTTAAATATAATATCTTACTTTTAAGGTTTAATAAACCTTGCTCAAAAATCTCGCAGTTAATATTGAAAAAATTTTATGATCACTTCGCATGTATTCCTTGCTTATTTCTTTTAATATAGTATTGCTATTTATCACAATCTTCGCTAAATTTTACAAAATATTTTATAATCTCTTTTTTATTGATTTATTTTATAAAAAATTTAACATTTTCAACGTTTTATACTTTTATTTCTATATATTAGGTTTCAGTTAGACGATACTAATACTTCTAACACAAAAGACGATTAGGTTATAATATAATGTGATTTTTTTGATTCACTGTAATTATAATGCAAAAAATTATTCCTTTTTATTTACGATATTTACATAATTTTACTGATTATTTATGATACTTGTTCTCAAAAAGTTATATTTTTTTTATATAAAAATAAGCTTTTGACTAGTCATTTTTAAATATTTTTCCCGTTTATTTTAATATAATATCTATACACAAACATTGCAATATCCCATTCTATTTATAATATATTTTAAATATGTATTTTATTATTTTAATCATTTATTTATATACAAGCTAAAAGCATTGCAATATCCTATTTATAATATATTTAAAAATAAGAAACAAATTTAAAATCTAAGTCGCTTAGCTTAAATATATATTTTTTAAATGCATAATCATTTAATCTTTATTTATAAATTGTCAAAATACCGATACAGAAAAAAATATATATTTTTACAATTTATTTTTTGGTGATATGTATCTGAAATATTATTTATAAATCATAGTTATATCATATTTATTAAATTTTATATAATAGTATTTTAAAAAAAATGTGTTTTGGTCTCTGGTTCTTATAATGATAAAATAAACTCCTTTAAACATTTTTTACTTCTTTTAAAAGCAGAATGTTAGATTTCATCAATTCAAGTTTTATGTTTATTATATATATATAAATTTGCATATATAATTAAGATGTTTTTGTTAAAAAAATATAATTTTTTTTTCTTATATAATAGAGTATAAAGTAGGTATAAAAAATATTGAATCACACTTTGTCGCCATTCGAATGATTTATAATCTCGTGCGCGTTATTGGTAGGCATCATAGAAAGACCCGTTCCCTTGTTTCGTATATTGCCTTTTTGTTTAAAATAAAAAAAATCATAAAGGTATTTGAAATATTGCTTCATTTTTGTAAATAATAGTTAAATGATAGCAATAATTTAACTTTTAAAAAATGATAAATTGTTTACAAAATAACAAAAAAATGCGAAAAATATATTCTTAAAATAGCATGGCATCTAACCATGCACTAAATTATTACCGTTTCCTTAATTTACATACGAGTAATATTCAACAATAAAATAGAAGGCTGCATAAGCACCATTAGGACTAATAGTACATATTAAATAATATGAATAGATCCTAAAGAAAGGTCTAAGTTTAACAACTAATGGGCCACTTTTTTTCAATAACAAAAGTGACCTAATCAAACGTTTCAGTATCAGATAATCGAGACGAATACTACGTTAAATCAGAAAAGTTTTTATAAATGGTTGGTTAGTACAAGATGAACTTTATTGGCTAAACAAAATATACCATGCTTCTTGATTAAAGTTTAATGCTTATTTTTTTTGAAATTAATACGCTCAATAGCTCCAATTAGAACATAGGGAATCCTAAATAAAAATTAAGGATATTATAAAATTTAAAAAAATAAAATGTTAAATTTCACTTAAATTGCAATTTGACCACTTTTTAAATTTTATATAAATTATAATAATGGTACCGTAATCAAACTGCAAATGTCTCCTTCGTTCGTCGCTTCCTATAGTACTGACATTGACTCTTTCTGCGTTATTGCTACCACCAATTTTAGCAGATTTTGTACCCTGTTTGATCATTCTCGTCTCTCTAGCTAGAGCTACGTCGTAAGGGCAGCAATGTGGTAAATTAGTCACGGTACAAAGCCATCCATAAAATCCTTTTTCAAAATCACATATCTCATTTCTCCACACATCGAAATCGCAAGTCAATTGAGTCACAGCGACATATAAACCTGAAAAAATTCCGCATAAAACCGCGAAAATCGGAGAAAAAAGTAAGAGCAATGTGAGAAGTGCTATTTTGAAAGGAGTATTGAGCCTGTAAAGGGCGTGACGACGATCCCCGAAATAATAATCATAGAAATTATACAGGGTCAGAGAGCTGTAATATAGGGAAAAGAGAAATGTTATCAAAAAAGAGATCGGAAAACAGAGAATGGTCCAAAGAAAGATATGCGGTCCCTTAACAGAACTGAAATAAGGCATAACTCGATTCCCGACCGAATTCTGATTAGATGTTCGAAGGTTACCGTATGTGTAAGCGTAAGGATGTTGAGTCTTAACTTGATAAGAGGACAACGTAGAGGGCATTAAGTTTTTGAGTCGATTAGTCAGGTTGGATATTTTATTGGATGTGGTTGGAGTTGAAGGGTGATCATAATCAAGCCATATGTGATCATTGGTTGAGCTGAAAGTTTATTTGAAAAAAAAGGAAATTGAAAGAATAATTTATGATATATTAAGGTATAATAGGCTGAATTCACAGAGGACGAGATGAGATGCGATCTAGCAGCTGATCGTGTTCATAAAATCTTTTAATAAAACCTGAATAAATTAGCTTGATGTTTATAATAATCATTAAGAAAGAATCACATTTTCGGGGGTTAACCTTCTTATTTCCTCTAAACAAATTGATCAGCTTTTAAATCGTGGCGATGGTAGTTCTAATGATATTATAATTAAATATGGGACATTTAATATAAATAATTATAATCCAATTAACATGCAAAAAAAAAAGTAATTTGAAATTTAAATAATTTTTTAAATAAGGGAAACTAATCTGATTTAGCCGTCAACCCAAACTTATATAAAAAATTAAATTCACAACCGGCGAGATATCACTTACAAATGATATTCATTTTTTTAATGAACTATGTATTAAGTTTTTCTGGTATTATGTGGAATAATCATGTAATAGGTTCGGAATCACAATTCTACTCATTTTAAAAGGTGATTTTTTTTTAAATCTGATTTTATGGTAGATGTATTCTAGCATGAGTAAATTTCCGTACTCAATTCATTTTAGACAACCCCAACCAAAAATTTTTGATGTAAAAATATCTATATTAAAAAGAAAGAATTATTACCCATTATCGAAAATGTTCCAATTATATTTTATCTGCAGTAATACTACATTATAGACCTTAAAAAATAATAAAGAAAAAATAAATTAATAACATCTTATTATGAACATATTATTAATAATAATTAGTCCTCATTCCAATAATAATTTAAATATCTTCAACTACTTCCTTAATCATGTCTAGAATTCCGCCTGGGAAAAAAATTTAATTAAATATTGGACATTAGTCGATGAAATACATTTTATAAATTATGCAACATTTAATATTTTTATTGTAGCAGCAGTATAACATATGCATAAATTTTGTAATAATTGCAAATATAATTAATATCTTCGTTTTACAGAAAATATAATAAATTGATGGAGTATGAAATTGCTTAATATCGGTTTTATTCAGATATTACGTTTAGCTTCCATTATATTATTAATATTTGAAGATATTCTAAAAAAAATTCTATCCAAAATTGTCAAATTAAATTTAGAAGATGCTGACGACAGAATCTTAGAAAAAATATCTGATAAATACAGAGCTTAATATAAAAAAACTCCTTTTCTTCAATTATTATACCTTTCTCATATTCAAAAAAAACTTGTATTTTCGTTTTCAATTTAGGTAATATTCATTTTAAAAATAAAAAGCTTTTTAAATGGAAAATGTTAATTTTTTCACTAACGAGGATCAAAATTTAAATTAATAAATCTGTATTTTTATAATAAAAAAAAGAAGTATTTGTATTAATCTAAAAATCGTAATAAATATAAAATACTTTTTATTTTTAATATATAAAAATACCAGAGTTATTAAAAGATACTTTTTAAATGGATCTAGATACAGATACATAGTCAAAAAATTATCTAGATACAAATACAGCTTCTAAAAAGTTATCTTGATACTGATACAATTTAAAATGTATCTAGGTACAGATACATTTTTTATTATACTTTTAGATAAGGTTTAAATAAACCTAAATTAGGATTCTATTGTGAAAATTCATGAAATGATCTAAAAGATTTATTGACTCGATATCACATTTATCAAAATATAACGAAAATAATGATTTTTAGATATTAATATAATATATGATTAATATAAATAATTATTATATATCATTAATAAAATAATAATATATGATTAAATGATTATAAATAATTATTAGATTTCAGTAATAAAATATTTTTAAAATTTGTTTAAGACATCCTCGTTTATCTGTAAAGACATTTTTAGCTATACTAAAAAGTCTTTCAACAGGAGCGCTGGAAGGGATTGTGGTGTTATATTTAATGAATAACATTTTTATATCAGGATATTGTTTAAAAAAAACTAAAATCTTGGTATTCTTTTTTGAAAAAACTATTCAAAATTTGTTGATTATCAGAATTTAAATCATTAACAATCATATCTCCTGCTGTGGGATACTGAAAAAAATCGGATATTAAATTATTGGTTTTTTTCACAGGTTAATTTGCACTCATTTGAAGACTTTGATAATTCCTCAACTAATCTTTTTATTAATTGTTTTTTTTTATTAAAATTTTCATCCATTTGCAACCATGTCCAATCTAGTTTAAAAAAAGGATGGCCAAAATATTTTCATCACAAAAAGTCCCAATAAACCTAGAATTATTAAATACTTATTAATTTATATCTTCAATTCCTTTAAGTAAGGCATTTAAGAGTGGTAAACAAAATTTCAGGTTCATTTGTTTAAAATATTTCAATTTAATAATGAGCTGGGAAATATGTTTACCGGCGATAGGCACTCCAACAATCTGCTGTTGTGCATATTAACGATGGTTTTATTAGACTTTTAATGATTTCTTTCTTTTCATTCTCCCATCTTTGGGAAATTCTAGCAACTACTGTCTGTCTGCAAATTATATTTTTGTGTGGAGCTAATGTCTTGATCATTTTTATAAATGATGAATCAACAATTGAAAATGGCTTAATGCTATCTATAATAAAATCAGATATTAAATCATCTAAAATGGTTTGGGTTGCCTAGTCCAATATTTTCTTTAATAAATTTTTTCTCCTTCCCCCTTTTTATTTGGATTAAGAGTGTTTGATGTTTTCTCTTAAAATTTAAAATTGTAAACATTTATTTAGTATCTTTAAATGTTTTACAATGTTGCAAGTTGAGATAGTGCTAACTGAAATTTTCATATTTTTTGGACATGGCAAATATTTTACTAACAGAGATTTGTTTTCTTTATTTTGAGATATTATTTTAAAATATGGTCTATAAATTGGCCATGGAATGTCGTCATTTTTGTCATCAATATTAATCAAATTAATATAATAGAATAAAATAAAATACCAATTCCATTGCAATTAAAAATGGCAAATTCCTTGAGATGGATTGTAATATCAGAATTTGCTTTTTATTGATAACTCGGACATAATATTTAATTAATATTTATATATTCTTTTTTATATATAAGTTTTATATTTTACTTATATATATAATTTTTTAATATATATATTAATATTAATTTATATGCTCATATGAAATAAAATAAATTTTACACTCAAGTATTTTTATTTATAATATAAAAAAGCGTTAAATAAAAGTATATCAAAATGTATCTTATAAAGTATCTAAAAACTGATACAGATACCTCTAAAATAATATCTAGATACAGATACTTTAATCAAAAATTTATCTAGATACAGATACCACATTTTTATATCTAGATACTTTAATGAAAAAAATAAATATTTTATAAAATATTTAAATAAATAGAAATTTATTTAATAGATTACGAATAAGATGTAATCCTTTCTAAACAATCTTTAGTTAAGGCACCGGTGGCGTAGCTAGGAATTTTCCTTAAAGGGGGTTCCATACATATAAAAACCTGGGGCCTTCGGCCGAGTTTATCTTACAAATCATAACCATATCTTCAATAATATATTATAAATATATTTTTAATGCTTCAATAATTTGTTATTATAATTTAGTAGATTATTCTTATTGACTTTATAATAATACTATCCAGAAATTTCACTAGTCCACAAACATTAAAACCAGAAAAATATATTTATTAAAGGTATTTATTTACGTACAATCTAAAAATAAATTTTTGCTCTTGGAGGGGTCCAAACCCGAAAACCACCCCCGTAGCTACGCCACTGTAAGGCACTAAATAAATAAATGCAAGAGATCGTTAGATCTTTTATAAAATTGTATCGCGATAAATATTTAAAGTATGGTTAACAACTCTGTATTAACTATATTATTACATATATCATATTCCCCTAAGGTTAAATCATTATCATACTTGTATTTCTAATATTAGGCGAGTGACTAAATTGAATTTAATATAAATTCCGATATAAATTAAATACCAAAATTACAAAGATAAATAATATTTCTTATCTATTTTATTTTAAATAATTTAAATTTCAAAAATACTGTAATTTTTTTAAAATGTGGTAAAGCTATCGCTGACTAGTCACTATATCTGCAAAAAAAATTAACATATACTTTTAACAACATAAGTAGTGTAGAGAATATGTAAGCATTGGGCAAGCATTTTTTCCGTCTGTATAATTGTTTTGTTTAGGATTAAATTTATTACAAATGTGATAGTTTTGTTGAATAGTTTTAGATTTCTAAAGTTTAATGTAGCTGAGAGTTTTGAAATTGTGTCATGTGCAATTTAATTTATGATGATAATTAGCATAATTATGGGGTTTTCCACATGCATCACATATGATTCTCTGTTAGATGTGGTGTAAAATAAAGCCTCCCATTATTAGATTTGTATAAATATTTGTTTTTTTGAAAAGGATGATTGGAATGGATTACTTTCCTCATTTCATTATAAATATAATTATTTTCTAATAATTATAAAACATCGTCAATCATAATTTTTTAAAAATAAATGTCAAATTTCCCCAATAAAATTAAAAATTTGAAAGACATTGATAAAAATAGTATTTATTTCAAGATAAATACATTTTTAGTAAATATTTAATTCCAATCGTTGACTCAAAAAATATATATTTGTATTTAGCCTTTTGATTTGCCATTCTTAATTATTAGGGTTATCCAGTCAACAAATTTTTCCCAATTGTACAAAATTGATCTGATCATTTTAGATTGATTTTTATTTACAATCTATCTTTGAACCAAGATCATAAAAATATTAATATTTTTTTAGGTAAAATAAATATTTAGCTAAAATATTGGCAAAACAATTTGGAATTTTCCATGTTTGTGCATTGACATGATTGTTTTTTTATTATTTCCTATAAGTTAATCATCTCATTTAAAATATGGGAAATGTTTATGGCTTAATCTAGCTCATCAAAAATCTTAAATACTTTTATTGCTGCATATATTTTTATTTAAAATATCATATTATTAGCTACTCTTTCTTTTAATAATTTGTTTTTTTTTGTAAACATTACAAATATATTGAATTTTGTTTCCTTTTATTTATTATTATCGAAAATTATGTTATAAATTACATACAATCACAAGATAACATAAAACAATGATAACATTGTTTAGAATAGACTGGCTTGGATTTTGGGTATAATATTCTAAAACTAAACAACCAGATTTCAGCCTAATTCCAAGAAAGAAATTCATAAAATTGACTTTATTGAAATTAATGTCTCATTTTGATATTCTTATTTAATAAAATTTATCCACACATAGTATCTTTTAACATCATAATACTAAATAAACTACTTTGAAGTTTATAAATTCAATCAGTTTTTCTTCTAGCAAGAAGGAAAATTAAAATTTTATTCATTAGGTGCTCTTTTCTATATTATGATCAGGGTTACCAGCTCCCCCCCCCACTCAGCTGGAGACTCCTGCAATTGTTTTGTCAACATGTAGAGATCTCCCTCCAACAATTGGAAATCTCCCACAATTTAATTTATAAAAAATAATTTTGAAAAACAGTTCAAAAATAAAGATCATTTGTGTTTGTAAAAAATTAAAATATTTTTATAATTAAAGCTTATTTTATAAAATCTTGTCCCATTTATCAGATCAAAGTTATATAATAAATAACTTCAATACAAAGAATCAGAAATAAATATTTAAAACTAAGAATAAAAAATTACCTATTTGGAAAAATATTATAAAAAAGATATCTACTTTGTTAAGTATGATAAACTAATAATTAAATTATAGAAGTAATTATGGTCACATCCAAAAAAAAATATTTACAATTTAAAAATTACTCCTTCAAAAAAATTTAACAAAATTTCTCCCACAGTTAGGAAATTTTGACTTGGTAACCTTGATCATAATTCTAAATAAACTTAAAATTAGCTAGTCAGATCCTTCCCTAATCAAAACTTTTAACTAATTTAGTATGAGCATTCTTTTATCTTCTTATAGCCCATAAGTGCTTAATCATGTAGCCAGTGTCCTTATGCACACAGCTATTTCAGCCTGCCCAAAAAATGGTGAATTGTTCTTTTCATTTAACTTAACTCCTAAAATTTTCGAGTAAATGCATAAAGAATGACAAAAATCATATTATGAAAAATACTTGTAAGGCTCATTTATTTCCTGAGATAATGGATCCACCTCATCTTCCACCATTTTTAAGGCTTCGGTTTTATTTATATCTTTTTCATTATTCTCTGAAATAATATGATTTTCCATTTTATCATTGTTTGAATTAATTTTCATATCTATATTGAGAGGTTGATTTCGAGAATGGTGATCATCGTTTTTATTGTTTGAGGTTGCGAAATCGCCTTTCACATTATCTAATTTTTGTATATTATATAAATATTTTCTAATCGCTTTACCAGTTGTGAAAGAATTTATTTCTTCACTGCCTAAATGAATTTCTTTCGAACCCTCAAACATTGAAAAGAAAAATCATATGGAATGCCTAACCCCAAAATCTTAAAATTAAGGTGCTTTTTAGTTCATTTATTATCATATGACAAAAGATTCTTCAAAAATTGAAGGTTTTAAAATTGTTGAAGATCAAAATATGATGTTAATTCTTAAAATTCATATTTGTACTTGAATCTATTCTTTTTATATTTCCTCTTTATATGAGTAATTTTGTGGGTCATTGATGGATAATGAAGGAATGGATTATCTTTAAAGTTGGATATAAAGAACTAGTTTTATTGATAAGTGAATGTATTTTTACTGGTTTTTTATTTTATTTAATCTTATATTTATTTCTAGGTTCTCACGTAGATAAATAAAAGTAAAATTAGCATAGCAACTACCCCTCCATAATGAAATTTTATTTAATTGGTCATGATTTTAACCTCTCTTCCTATTTCCCACGGGTGTTTAAGTAAGTGGCTTTGCCTCTTGTGCGCACAGGTAACTGCGACATGCCTAAAAAAGCGTGGATGGTCCTCTTAATTATTTATATCTTTTATCAGTCTGGGGGCTTTTATGAGAGAACCAAGCGTTGCCCTGTTGTATATATAACTTAGAGATAGGAGCTCAATATCACGTAAATGGTGTTCATCCACATTGGTCATAAAATAGTCATACTGAAGAAATATTATTATAAACTATATTCATTCAACATAATTTTACTAGAATAATATAAATGGAAATTTTTATTTAACTTGTTTGTTAAAAAAAATACTTTAGGTTTGTTTAAAATCTGAGCTCTTTCAACAGACGACAAAATATTAGTATAAATTTATTAAGGAAATAAAAACAAATCTCATTTGCACATATTATAATTAATTTTATGGAAGCTAACCTTGGAAAGAAATCAAATTATAACAGAATAATTAAAGAATAAATTTAAATATCGTGTTAATCACGAATATTTTATAGTACATATTTAATATAATAAATTAGTTTAGGATCAATTCTGTACTGTAATATATGAAATCTTAATTAAATAGATATTCTAGACGGTGGCGGAACCAGGATTTAACATTTGAAAATTCAAAAATCATCAGATCCTTGCTCTTTTAAAGATTAAAAAATGGAAAAAATCTTTAATTTTTTGATCTTCAAAGATTTTTTACTCAAAATCCTGGGCGGGACAGAAACGCAAAATTATTTTTTTTATATGTCCTTGTTTATAGGTATAAAAAGTAATGCTGTAAACATTTTTTTTTAAAAACACAATGATAAAAAATCTTTTATAAAAATAGGAACGTGGTATATTCGAAAACACATCCATTCAAATTTATAAATATATTTTTTAAAATGAAGGCTTTCAAACTCGATTACAAGTAGGTTTCTTACTAGAAAATTGCCCAAGCTAACAATCGAATAGAAAGGAGTAGGAAGTTTATTTTGTAAAATAAAAATTTTGGAACATCAAACAGTTAATACAGTTATTTTTTGTAGGAGTAAAAAAAAAGAATCAAGTATAGACATATCGGTTACTGTAAGATGTAATACGGTCAAGATATAGTTTCAAAAAAAAGTAATAAGACCTATTTATTTTATATTAATTAATGGAATCACGTGGTCGAATCCGATCTACTATATATCATCCCTCAGGTATTGATACCAAGTTGTCTTCAGAAAAAATACAAACTCAAAATCTTTGGATTGAGATACAAACACTCGTAGGAATAGGCCAATTGGCTTCAGAAAAAAAATGATCCTTAAGATCGAACCCAGAACATTCGGCTTACGCACTCAACTAACTAGACCTGGCTTCAGAAAAAATAACATGACTCTTACGGGATTCGAACTCAGAACCTCGGATGATACACATACTCATCCGACCAGGCCTGAGACGCTCTTCGAAAATAACTATTTTTAAATATAAAAATTTATATGTTACCTCGATCTATCAAAATCTGGTTCGTTCAATATCACAGCATGTTATATCTAACATTAATAGACATAGCCTAATATAAAAAAATATCCAATAACATAGCCAATGAATACTATATTTCTTTTATGTGCATATACCATGGAATATAATGTATATAAATATAAAACAATAATTACATATTATAAAATTTGTTCATTAAAAAAAATTTATATTAATTAATAATAAGTGTTTCCCAAAATTTTCAATAAGGAATATCGCTTCAAAGGAATTCGTTACATGAAAACACCCGCTCGACCAAAGTTGAATGTAGGATTATCCTTGCAATAAAAAATAATTATTATAGATTTAATCATATGAACGCGATCCTTATTTTTTTTTATTAATTAAGGCGAACTAATTCGTATAGAGACCGTAATTAACGATATAGTTAATACATTAAAAGTAAATATATCATTACTCTAAATTAAATTTTCATGATATTAAAACCATTCCTAGTTGCAAATAAATGTAAATTAAAATTTAAGGTTAAAATTAATTTAAACTTTCAGATATATTCTTCTTTCTCAATAGAATTCTTTATCCTTATTCTAAGCTTTTCCTCTTATTTAAAAGATATATTTTTTATAAAATTTATGAAGGTTATAAAAAAAAATATGCTAATTTATTCAACTTAAATATATATATATATAATTGTGAAAAATTTATATAAAATATAATAATACATTAATATTTCGAACAATAATACACTTTATCATTTGAATCATCTCCAGTGTTCGGCATAATAATTTTACGGGCAAATTTATTTAAAAGAGTCCCTAAAATAGAATTATCATCGCTTTTACTAGGATTCTCGTTGTCTGAGATATTTTCCAAAAATCCTTTAAAATACATTTTTAACTCTGTTAAGCTCCATTTTTCTTTGATTTTAAACAATGAATTCAGTCTTTCTTTCGTATTTTGAGGCAAAGATGCTTCCGGTAAAAATTTTATAATCTTTTTGTTATTTTCGATCAAGACAATGGCTAAACCCTTTTATTTAATTTAATAATATATATTTTGCATAATAATACTCTATTTCAATTATATACATAATTCCCGATTATTCCTCCCACATTTAAATAATTAATTCCGATTTTTTGGTTTATCATAAGATGCCGTCCATTTATATTTAAATCATATTTTTATCATGAAAGTCATCTTTTACAAAAATCCCTTTCACTTTAAAAATACAAAATTAAATTAATCATTTACATTCTGCAATTTTATGCATCTAAAAAATCAGAAAGTAAAACTTGAAATACCACTCTATATCACTTCCTTTACGCTGTTTTTAATTATTTTGTTCAAGTATTAAGGCTGTGTCCTGGTTCGACTTAATCTGGATACATAATTTCTTTTTAGTATAAACAAAAAGGTTTTTGAGCTATGACACCCTAATTTTGGTTTGTTTTAGTATTTGGTGGCATTGCTATTTTTCGTACTTTATTTTTTTTTTAATTTATCGCTTTTTTGGCTATGCAGTCGATACTAAATAGCCGGCTATTAAGTAATAAGTTGACCTAGGACACGGCTTATAAGAGCTGATTTGCGTTTCCAGCATTTTGTAAAAAGTAAAGATATTTCAACTGGATTTTCTTTTCAAAAATTTTTATCAGCCCGGCTCGGGATTTTTTTTAAAATATTGGCCCGGCCCGGGTTTTATTTTTTTTTAATTTTTTTGCCCAGTTTAATGTTTTAAATGAACCCTGTTTTAAATAAATTTATATTTAGTATATTGACATTTATAACTAACATGTTTAGATTTAATATTAATTTTTATAGTGATATTGGTATTTATGACTGACAGAACATTGTATTTAAAGAGTTTATTTAAAATAGATTTTTCAATTATAACAAATAGTGTTTTAAGATCACTTTTTTTATTTTTGAAAATTGTAGATATTATTTAATAAACGATTAAATTTGTCCGAAATTTTTTTTTAATATCTTAATAAAATTAATCAATTTTAGATAAAGTATATGAAGGCATGCTTTGCTATCTGCTGGCCTACAAAGTAATTGTATATTATTATTAAAAATATTGTTTTTATATTCTTCAGATCTTGATATGATTATTGATAATGATGAACAAAACATAAATAATTTATAGACTCTGAAGTAATTAAAAACCTAGGTAAACTCATCATTGTGATTAAATGGATGGTTTTACACCACGGTCATGGTTTTTGATCGAAAAAATGAACCAGAACCAAACCAAGCAAATGGGCCTATCTAATCGACCAAATCCATAAACTCGAGCACCAACCCAAATCCAACTTATTATAATATTTTATTGTTATATCATTTTGCTTAATCATATTTTAATGCATAGAGGACGAATATTTCAATATTAGCATAAAAATAGTTATCTTTAATAATATTAGATTCCTTTTTTAAAAAATTGTTCTCTTCTTAAAATCTAAAAATATTGTATAATTTTTACTTTTAACTAGTAACTCGTGTGATCGTGAACCCAATTTAAAAACTAGAAGACGATTAGTTCAATATTTACATATAATTATCGTATTAATTAATATATTAGATTCCTTTTTTTATAAAATTTTCCTATCTAGTTTATGTGAGCTAGGTGTGGAATAACTGTAAGCAGGAACGAATACAATATAAAACATAGATAGTCTCAATAGAAAATAGATTCCTTTTTTATAAAATGTTCCTATCTTGTTTATGTGAGCTAGGTGTGGAATAACTGTAAGCAGGAACGAATCCAATATATAAAACATAGATTGTCTCAATAGAAAATATACTAAGACCGGGGATATTTATCCATAAAAAATTTAAGTGGTGGGGGGAGATTATTAAATTTTAAGATAAAATTATTGTTATTTAAAAATATCAAGCATAAATTTATTAGGACTAATAACTATTTCTATTATACAATTTAAAAAATGTGAATTAAAAAATATTAAACGGATGCAATCTCATTTATAGATATAAATATATATTCCGAAAAGACGATTCGTCATCGTGAATCGGACATCTGAGATTTTAATCGGCGAAAATTAGATTCTAATTACCGAGAAAACAAAAAGTTTATCATAAAAAGTTTATATTGGATGTTTAGCGAGATGTAAATCATATACCAACAGTCAAAATTTCAGACCAGGATTTGAAAAAAAAATAATGAATTTTAAAACCTCGCCCGGCCCATAGCTTTTTTAACCCACCTCGCCCCGCTTAAAATTTCATTATTTTGAATAATTTTGTCCGAATTTTAGAAATCATTTCAAAGGGAAATTAAAAATATGAGCAAAAAGTTAATTAAGCGTTCCATTTCGGACGATAAATTTTAAAAATATATTATATTTATTTTTAATTTTTATTACGATTTCAAATATTTGGTTTTAAAATATACGAGCCCGCCCCTAGGCCCGGCGCGGATATATATTAAATTAATAAAATTTTTGTTAAATTTATATGCTTTTTGTTTCACTTATTTGATTGACCTCTTTTTTAAAAATAATGTTATTAATTGTTAAATTACCTAACTTTGGCTAACTCCAATATGGCATTAGCCAAAAAATTTTAAATCTTTTACGACATTGAGACAAATATTTTTAGGGAAAAAAAATTTGAGCAAGCCTTTTTTGGAGTTGGCAAACTTTAAGTTCGAATAACACTTTTTTATAGTTATTTTCAATTATTAAAATTTCCAGTACATAGCATGTTAAGAAATTTGGTAATGTGTTCTCCTAGGAATGTTCATTTTTACCTTTTAATGATATTTATTTTATACCCATGAAGTTTTCTCTTATAATTTGACCGGGTTTTCTTGTGCATGCACATCCCTTTTTTAGGCTTTATGAAATATGGAAGGATAGCCATAATATCTAATGAAAATTTATTTTTGTGATCAAAATCATTTTCATTTTTTATAAAGATTTTAGTAAGTGGGAGAGAAGAGGAACACTAAACTGCTAGGTTTGTTAAAAATAAATGGCAGATATTTAAAATGATTGATGATGTCAAGTGACAATAAGGTATATTAGTATGAATGGGTTAGATAAAGAGGATTCCCCAAAAGGCATCAACCATGATATGCAAAGTTATCTGTTACTAATTTCTTTTCCCATCGTGAGTTAGATGTTAATTATTCAGTTATGTGATTTCTGGCTTATATATATCATATGACTAGTGATGTTATGAATATGTTGTCAAGAGAGCAAAAACAACCTTTGCTAGCGGAAAGGATTGTCAAAAAAAATTCTTCAATGGATTGCTAGAATATTTATACTGGTATTTGGTGAGAGAGGAGAACTTATAATCGATAGTTAATTTTCTTTGTTATTTTAAAATAATAATTATTATTATTTGTTATAAAGAAGAAACAAAATTATGTTCTAACACTTATCTTATTCGAAAATGAAGAAATTAAAAACTTAAAAAATACAAAAATCACCCACAATTGAAATAAACTAAATATATGTAAACACTTAAAATTGAAGCTTCCAAAAACACAAGATATAGCAAGCATTATTGCTTTATCCATTCGTTCTGTACAAGTTATACTATATTTAATTAGAAAAATATAACCTTATTAATATTAAATGATCCTGATTAATTTTGTTGGATTTGTATTTTCGCACCATATCGAATAATGTAATAATTATTTAAAAAAATCATTCAAAAGGATTGACGTGTATGTTTAGCAAGCCCCGCTAGCTCTAAATTTACTAATCAATCATGATTGAAATAATATCTGGACATAATAAATACTCATAAAACTTTTGCAAATTATAGAAGAGTGTTTAAACTTTGCTATAAAATTTAATTTGCATATAAATGATTATATATTTTAATAAAAATTAAAATTCTGTCATGTAAAAATCTTTTGAAAATTTTTAATTATTTATTTTAAAAGATTTTTTATCTATAGATGTAAACTAATAAAAATTATATTAGGATTAAATTTTAGCCTTCTGGTGTATTTAATTATAAAATAAGAAGTGGTTTACCTACCCCAGTCTCTCCTGATACTTAAAAAAGACTCTTCAGAAAGATCTATAAGCCCATAAGATTCTTAAAGAATTGATTAATTAATAATTCTATTAGCTCCCAAATGTTAACTTCAATACATGGTAAACCACACCTACATGCTTCTTTCAGACATTCCATTTATAGAAAACTAGTGTTGTTAAATGATTTTTAAAAAAGGAAACCCAAGGTTTCTACCAAAAAAATATTATGAAAACCTGGAGATTTGCTCCTAGATGGCAGAAATGTTTGGGCATGTTAACGAAATCTTGAGGCTTACATAATATGTTTTGGCTAAAATATTGGGTTAGCCGTTTTTAAAAATCAAGCCGTTTAACAACACTTTAGAAAACTAATAGCTACCTTCATGCCAATTCACATCATCGTTATTTCAAAAAATTATTCACAAAAAATCTTGATTTCATTGAAACCACACGCTTAGCTTCTAATAGAAATTCAGAATCTTTTAATAAAATTACAAAATAGCTAGAAGACAATAACTTTAAAGGATAATAAGAGAAGGCGTAGAAATCTCAAAAAAATAGAGAGGATGTTTACAATCTTCTTATATGTAGATGGAAATTATTTTATCTTATATATATATAAAATATAAAACTATTATTTTCAAATATCATCAAACTTAAACAATTTTAAATATTTCTCAACCCCAAAGAATATATTTTTATCCTTTTTTTATTACTCTCCCCTATTTTCTCTATATAAATATTTTATTTTTATGCAAAATTATATTTAATTTTGATTTTGAAGCCATGGATAGTTGGGCATCCAAAACACCAACAAAATATTTTTTTAAGCAATATTTAAGAATATATTATATATTTTACTTATATAAAATTAAATTATCATATAATACTTCTAAATAAGTCATGTGAGTCTTAATACCTTTGGGGACGCTTAATTTCCAAATATTTAAAAAATCTTTGAAGTCAAATTTAATGGTATTTTTCAATATATCTTCAGCAAAAAACCTGCAAATCTAAAATAAAATATTTACTTAATCATATACAAATTTATCCTATATTATACCTTTATTTCATCTAATTCATAGACATCATCATTACTATTAATTATGTTACTGGGATTAGTGGTTAAAAGTTTTTTCATCATAGATTTAAAAACAAATTCTACAACTTCCCTAAAAAAAAATTGAAGGTTTAATTCGAAAATATTTATTAAAATCAGAGCTTTGAACGGGAAGCAGAACCCCCCCCCCCTTTTAACCATATTAAATATAAAAGAAAATTTCTAATTATACTTTATCTATATAGGTAATAATAATCGGTTTCCTTTTAACCATATTAAATATAAAAGAAAATTTCTAATTATACTTTATCTATATAGGTAATAATAATCGGTTTTAACCATGTGCAAATATTCATAAAATTATATTTGAATATAGATACTATTTAAAAATTTTGTATTTAAAATACAAGATACTTAGCAAAAATGATATTAGATATTTTAAAAAAAATTATTATATAGTAAAAATCAAAATGTATCAAGGTTCAACTATAGATAATTGACATTCCTTCAAAAACAAACGAGGTTAATAGATTATTTAATTTTTACTGATATATTGTTTTCTTTTTATTATTTCAAAGCTCTAGTGTTATTTGTGTTAAAATTTTTGAGTTTTCACAATTTCTTTTAGTTTTTTGGGTTGTGTAGTAAATTTGATTCATATAATTTGCAAGATTCTAGAAGACGTTCTAGTGAAACAAAATAAGAAAATATTTAAGATTCGATTTTTTTTCTTTTATTTTTAATATATTTAATCTTATTCTTTTCAAATCTAGATTATCAGATATATAATTTTTTCATTTCATTATCAATCATAAATATAAAAATTTTCTAAATTTTGCAAATGAATGTATGGTAATGAATATCATTATAAATGAGATTTATAATAAAATAATATAATATACCTTCAGATATTTGAAGAAATTAGATGACAAGTCTGAGAGTGACTTATAAATTTGTGGCATCTTTTACCTCTGCAGTAATTATATTATTGGTATACAGAGTTGGACAGTACCTTAAATGCTTCTAACTAAGATATAAAATCCTTTTGTATCTATTACTCATCTTTTTGATATATTTAAGAGGATAGTAGTACGCTATCTAAGATTTTTTATTCTGAAAAGAATCTTGCATATTTTTAATTTTCTTTAAAAAAGATGTAGATACTTTTTAATATTTCTGTTTAAAAAAGTCCCAGAATATAATCTCATTTTCTTAGGTATCTTGAATTAATTTTCTTATTTTTTTCCGCCATGACAACTGGAAGATTTATAACTCACATTAAGATAGGTAAATAAAAATAATAACATTAAAACGAAATAATTAAAGAATATATTTTATATATGAATGTAACTTATGTAATTTTAATTTGTGAGATGATTAACACTCCTAGTAGTGATAAAGAAGGTGGTGAACGTGAAATTATGGAAACCTGAGTCATATCCCAATTATAAAATTTTATATGGAAATTTATTCAAAATAATTTAAGTCAAAAAAGTCAGCACAGGCTGAATGTCAAACCTGTACAAACAGAAAAATGATAAAGGGTTCAACAAACTTTACAAATTTTGTTAAACATATTAAAGTATATTATTTGTATAATAATTTTATGTTATAATATTATTATAATTTTTTTCCATATCTAAAAGGGTGGAGAAGAAAAACCATATAAAAAATGATTTATCCCACAATATATCAGCTTCATTTAGTGTCATTAATAAAATAATAATTACACAAAGTAAAATTGAGTAGTTGATATGAGCATTTATTGTCAAGGGTTTACACCCTTTATTTTAAAAAAATTTACATATAAAATTTTAAGATTGGGATATGATTCAGGGAAACTTATTCCCATAATTTCACGTTCACTACCTTTTTCTACCCTACCATGAGTGTTGATCATCCTACAAATTAAAAATTTTACATAAAATTGGTAATGATATACTATCGAGTACCATTTTGTTAAATATGGCTTCTCTTATTTTATTTTAAACTAGTTTTTTTTATCCCTCTTTTGTTTTGCCTTAAATACATCAAAATTTATTATATATATTTTTAAGCCCGTCTTTTGTATGATATAATTAAAATATATGGCTTTTATGTTTTCTTTTAATAGTTTTTTATACTTTTGGATTCCTTTAAGGTGTTCATTAATTATAAATTAGATAGTCAGATACAGGAGATCGTCCTGAATCCGAAGGTATAATTAGAGTTCGGAAAATATAGGGGGGTTTTTTATCCCCGCTATTTCTCACTTTGCGCCAATTTTATTTTAATTTATAATTGTGCTGTTTATTTTCCCTGTAAAAGGGACTAATTTTTATGTTTATCTGAATCTCATTTTTAGTTTGCAAATTTTTTATAATTAATTAGTTGTGTTTCATAAAAGTCTTTTATTTTTAGGGTTTAATAAAATTAATATTGAGTCTTAAAATATTATTAGTTTTAATTTATTGTGTTTTATAAAAGTCTATTTTGGATTATTTTTGTGGTATAATAAAATATCCATTTAATCATGACCCTCAAAGATCTCAAGTGTTACAGGATCCATTAAAGAATGTGCCCGTGAATGATATAACAACATGTACCTGTATCTGAAGCCCAGCTATTTCACATTTATATATAAAATATATTCTTTACTTATTTCGTTTTGGTGTTGCTATTTATATTTAGCTAACTAATGTGAGTTTTAAATTTTCCAACTGATTTTGGTTGTCAATATATTTAAATTATGGCAAAAAAATAAGGAAAATTAATACATAACAGATTTCCATGAAGAAAATAAGGTTATTCTGTAATATGTAAACTTTTTAAAAATGAATTTTGTATCTGTATCTTTTGTCAAGAAAATGAAAAGGATACAAGATTCTTTTCAGAGTAAAGGGTCTTAGATATAGATACTAGTATCTTATTCAAAATGTCAAAAGGATACTGTATATAAGGTACAAGATATAAGTATTCACATAACTGCTACTCCCCAACTCTGATTAATAGGTTTAAGAACCAGAATCTATTTTAAAATCACAAAAAACCAAAACTAAAGTAATTGTAACTAATTTATTTGTATATATCAAAGCATATTTAAATTTGATTTTAAAAAAAATAAGAAAAGTGGAATTTTATGTGAGCATATACTATGATTTGTCAATAAAAAGTTCTATGCCATTGAATAATATATATGCATTATTTTTACAAGTTTATAAAATGTTATAGTTAAAAGTTTATCAAAATTCTAATATTCATTTATGACCTTTGTAAATTAAATTATTCAAACATTGGAAAAAAATGTATTCATGGATTTCTAGGATATATCATATATCTCAAGAAACATCAAAGTTTACGTGCAACTAATATGAACACATATGATGATTTTTGAATAATAATGAAATATGAACTCTTTTACATTTGATTTTTAATTTAAATAACTCATAAGGCAAATAAAATTATTATAAAAATCTGAGTTAAGTATCTAGATATAAAAATGTAGTATCTGTATCTAGATAGATTTTTTAGAAAGGTATCTGTATCTAGATATTTTTTTAGAGTATCTGTATCTGTTTTTAGATACTTTTTAAGATACATTTTATATACCCCTTTTTTTATTATAAATAAAAATATTTGACTGTAAAATTTATTTTATTTTATATGAGCTTATGAAATAAATAAATATATATATATTATATATTTATATTTATTAATACTATAATATATTTATATTTATTAATACTATAATAAAGAATTTATATACATAAAATATTAAAACTTATATATAAAAAATATATATAAATATTCATTAATTTAAATATGTCCGAGTTTATCAATAAACCATACAAATTTTAATATTACAAAAAGGAAATAGTAAATTTTATTTTATAACTAAATTTTTAAGTTTATATATTTATATATATCTATATCGATGAAGAAGAGGAAGCAACAACAAGTTCTTTACCATGGCCAATTTATAGAGCATATTTTAAAATAATATCTCAAAACAAAGAAAACAATTCTCTGATGGTAAAATGTTTGCCGTGTCTACCTAAAAATACAAAAATATCCTTCAGTATGACTTCAATGTGCAATATCGTGAAGCACATAAGGGTATAGATATTATATATTTAAAATTCTAATTTAAATTTTAAGAGAAAACATGCAACCTTGTTAACAAAAATAAAAAAGGGGAAGGAAAATAAAACTACCAAAGAAAATATTGGACAAGACTCATCCTCCAATAATATTTTTGCTAAAAGACCTTTGACTTAACTCAAGGCACTTTAGATGATTTAATTATTGCTTTTATTATAGATGGCATGCAGCCATTTTCAATTGTTGAAAATCCTTCTTTTAAAAAAATGATCAACACTTTGGATCCACACAAAAATATAATTTGCCGACAGACGTTGTTAGAATTTCCCAAAGATGGGAAAATGAAAAGAAAGAAATAATTAAAAGTCTTATAGAACCATCATTAATATGCACAGCAGATTGTTGGAGTGCCTATAGCCGGTATAGCTAACATTTAAATTTGTATAATAATTAATTAAGAATAAATTATTTAGCAATTTTAAGAAATTTTAATTTTTAGTTCATACTTAGGAGTAACCGTTCACTATATAAATCCAATAAGTTTGGAAAGAAAAATATATAGCGTTGGCTTGTAAAAGAATGACTGGTAGTCATACATATGATAAAATAGGAAAAAATTGACAAGATATAGCTAAGGATTATTGCATTCAAAATAAAATTTCAAAGACCATTACAGATAATGCCAAAAATTTTATAAAATGTTTTAGGTTTATTTTATTATAAATATAAACATAATATATGATTGATTACTTAATTTATTAAAGAGTTTTAAGCCAATTGAAAATAATACAAGTGAATCAATTGATGATCTGGAAGATGAAGCAGTTGTGCCAATTTCTATATCAAATACTTATAATACTGATTCTGAATTATCAGAATCATTTAGTTTATCACCAATGTTGTGCCAGTCACACATTGAATCTTATAGCCACTGTGGATGCCAATAGAGCCATGCAGTGTAAACAATATCAGAGGGTAAAACTAATTTTAATTAAATAAGTAATATTTTCTTCATCAGATATATAGCACAACACTACATAAATGCCAAAATATATGGAATAGGCAAAATAAGTCTCCTATTTCATCTGAGATTATTAAGAAATATATTGGTCATTATTTTATATGTCCTAATATAACTAAATGGAACTCCACCTATAATGCCTTACAATTAATGTCAGAAATTATAAAAGCTAAATCTGACAAAGTGGACAAGATATGTGATGGAATAAAACTACCTAGGTTTTTACCTAATGAATGTGATTTAATTCATGAATATTGTTTAGTAAGTTATAAATAATATTTATATATATAGCATTATTTTAAATTGGCTAATGAAGCCAATAGCTAATTCCCTTGATATTTTGCAGGGAGATAAGTATATGTGCACAGCTTATTACTGTGCAACTATTTCACAACTTATTATCAAATTAAAGAATTTTAAAGAAATGAACCTGAGATTCTGTTTACCACTCTTAGATGCCTTACTTAAAGGGATTGAGGATAGGTAAATTAATATAATAAATTTAAAATATTTAATAATTCTAGGTTTATTGTGACCTTATTTGAAGATAATATTATAGCAACCATGCTCCACCCTTTTTTTAAACTTGATTGGACATGGTTGCAAATGGAAGAAAATCTTAATAAAGAAACAATTGATACAAAGATTGGTGAATTATCAAAGTCATCAACTGACTGCAAGCAAATAACCTGCCAAAAAAAACAAATAATTTAATTTCAGATTTTTTCAGTACCCTACAGCAGATATAATTTCTAATAATGATTTAAATTTTGATAATCAACAAATTTTAAATAATTTTTTCAAAAATGAATATAGAGATTTTAGCATTTTTAAAGAATACCCTGATATAAAATTGTTATTTATTAAATATAACACTACAATTCCTTCAGCGCCCCTGTGGAAAGACTATTTAGTGTTGCTAAAAATGTCTTTACAGATAAACGAGGATGCCTAAATGATCAAAATTTTGAAAATATTTTATTACTGAAATCTAATAATCATGAATTTTCACAATATAATATTAATTTAAGTTTATGCAAACCTATAAGAGCATAATAAAAAATGTATCTGTATCTTGATAACTTTTTAGAGGCTGTATCTGTATCTAGATAACTTTTAAGACTATGTATCTGTATCTGGATCCATTTAAAAAGTATCTTTTAACAACTCTGATAAAAATGCATGTTCACCTTCTATTATCTTATTTCCATCTCCAACATCATTGTTGCAGTTTGATCAAATAATACTTAATAAGACACTAAGTATACAATTAAAAACTATTAAAGAAATGAGGGATAAAATAACTTTTAATGTTAAAATATACATAAAAAATTGTTGAGTAAGCAATGAATTTATTGAATTTAATTCTGAATATAATTGAACCCAACTTGATTTAAATCAAATTGATTTTTATTTCCAAACCCTTATCTATAATACTCAAAATGTTGTAGATTGATAAAAGATATGAGCAAAATAAGATTAATATGCTGAAGAAACATTTTAGTTATTCTATTGGTTATATTTTCAACTAAAAAAAATATTTCGAAGAAATATATGAGTTTTATAAAAAAAAGAATTTATCTCTAAAATTTAAATTTTATTTAATAACCTTGGAAATAACTCTTCTAATGTATATAATGTTTCATTTAAATATACATTCTTATATGACCATGAATTTTCTTCAATTAATGACAATATATGATTCACTATTTGATTAAAATAAGTGTTTTCTATGATTCTGTAAAAACCTATAATTAAAATTGAATTATCATATATATTTTTTTAAACCATTGATTATTGTTGCATTTAATTCATATAGTGCTTTAAGTATTTCTTGATCACTTGCTTGTATAAAGTTTTTTAAATCTTTCATTGAATACTTAACATTTTATTATAATTTAATAAATATTATTTATTTATAAACTTTAAAAAAATCAATTAATTCAATTTCATAAGTGGGACCTCTATAAGCTGTTGGCTCGAGGGATTCTTTTAATTTTAAAAAGTTTGGCTTAATCAAGCAAGGCTCTATATAGTTGTGAGTTAGATGTTCAATCTATGGTATACAAGCAAAAATAAATTTGATATTTAAAATTTACTTTCAAATTATTTTCAAGTGGAGGATTGGTCAACAATTCTTCATTGGCTAAACCATTTGAAATTATTAGTAGTGAATTTGTTGTTTCAGCTTCTTTAAGTTCAAAAGTTTTATTATCTGTACATAAAATTAAACTATCTTCATACTCTCCTCTTATTACTAAACTTTAATAAAAATTATTAGTTACATATTTTGGTTAAACTTTTGACCATCTTGAATTGCCCTCATTAAATTTGCATCTAGTTCAATTAATTTAATAGAATCATCAGAGTTATATTTTAATGTTTGCACATGAGGAACAATATCATTTGAATTTATCCCAATTATAGATGCAATTTTATCGATATTGTATTTTTCATCAAGGTTTTGGATCATTTTAAATTTTTCGCAATTAATAAAGTAGCATAAAAACGAATTTATAATTTTCGAATATCGAACCTAGGAAATTGCCCTAATAACTGCTGATTTAATTGCCATTCGTCTATTTAAAATCGCAGGACCTGACAGATTTGACAAATTATTAATAAACACTAGTTAATTTTATTTAAAAATTTTTTTTTAAAACTTTAGTACATTATGGACCCTAACCAATATCACTTAAACCTTTAATCTCCTTACTTCCGATCTTTGTTTAGGAATATATTAAATCCAATTAAAAAATCTCCTTCCTTACGTAGTCGGATGTGAAAGGTAAGTCGAATTCCCTTCATAAATTTCCCTGTTCTTGTAAATATCATTTTAAAAAAATTTCCCCCTACAAACCCTAACCTTCCTACCCCCCCCCCCCTTCCCATAAAAAAGTATACAATATATTATTATAAATATAAATTAGAAAGGGAAATTAGTTAAATTTAATAACTTTTAAAATGACCACTATAATTCAATTTTTATTTATTTTAAAAAATGCATTTTTATATTTAAATAAGTGAAAACCTAAGTAATTTTTATAACAATCTAATATAATGAAAGCATTACAATAAGTGGGCATAGATGCCTACAATAAATATTATGAAAAAACCGGGAAACCCGAAAACTAATAATGCCTTCCCCCTTTATTAGAATCCTGGCTACGCCCATGCTTTTTCAGTTAAATATTCTTTGAGTTGAGCTATTATCGCTTAGTAAATGCATGTTGACAGGCCTCGTTCATAGTTATCAGTCTATCGCTCAAGCGATATGCAATTTACAATATACAAACGCTAAATTATACATCTATGGGATCGTTTACATATATAAATAATATAATTTATATGGTAATGTCCCAATTAAACTTATACAATGTTTAAGTGTTGTTGGTGATACCGTGTATCACTTCTTGGTCATAAAATCAACATCTATTAATAATAGTGATATTCAATTCGATTAATATTTTTGTAGGTATCGCGCATAATGAAAATTGTTATTATAGCAGGGTGACCATTTAATAAGGTGTTTAAAAGTTTTGTTACACTGTCCAAAGGTGTATGGCTTAGAGAAAAATTTAATTTATGTTGATGGCTTGAAGATGGTTAGATTTTTATATAATCCACCTGCATGATCTCTTTGATGGATCTGATGGTAGTTAGGAATTCAGAGATTTATGATTCATCAGGGATATTCGTATACGCAGGAATTTGGTTAGGGCGGGGGGGGATAATAAAATTTTTATTATTGTTAATTAAAAATACTAAGAAATTTATTAGGACTAATAACTTTTCTAATACACAATTTTAAACTAATGTAAATTAAAAAAAATTATATATATAAACCGGCATTGAAAAACTACAAAATAAATGTGAAATATAAAATATAAAATGAATATAACCCACGATATGAATCACTTAAATAACCCAAAATTGAAATTTGAATTTTTTGAGCTTTTAAAATATATAAAGTACAGAAAATTTAAATGTTGGAAATATAAATTAATACACAAAAAGTTTCTTAGGAATAATTGTATTTTGTATGTTTTGAGCTAATTTTTCAATTATCTATTCTTGCTTGGCGTTAAATGCCTATGAATATTCAAAAGATCCAAATCATTCAATCTACTTTCAGATGTTGTATTTCATAGGTATATTTTTCACAGACTTGCAGGCCCGGCCCCCGAGCCGGACCGTATTTTAATTTTTTTAAATATACCCGAGCCGGGCCCGTAATTTTTTTTAAAAAAACACCCGGGGGGCATGAAAATTTTTTTAGAAAAAATATCCGGGCCAAGCTGTATATTTTAAAACTAAATCGCCATTATTAGCTATAAAAATCAAAAATAAATATAGTTTATTTTAAAAAAATTCGGGCCGGGCCTGAAAATTTTATTTTCAAAAAAGCCGGGCCGGGCCTGAAATTTTTAAAAAAAAAATCCCGAACCGGAAAAAATTTCTAAAAAAAATCTGGGCCGTCTCCTGCAAATGGTACCTCTGCAAGGCTCTGTTATTCTTTAAAAAATAGAATGTTCTCTCATTAGTTTACTATAATTAAATAATACATTCAAAAATTTGGAATAAGTATTGAATCCAATAATTTTCTTGCTTCTGAGGAAATATTTCTTACAAGCCATTGTGATATTTCAGTAATAGCATTAATAATTGGCTCTTCTAACTCTATAAAAGCTATTACTGCTTGATGGCGGAGACTCGATCTCGTTGGACAAGCTTGCAATTTCTTTCTCCCTGTTGGACAAGGAGTTTCAGAGATAATTATTATTTGGCTATAAATTTAGATAAATATTACGACTAAAATTTGAAAATAATAGGTAAATTACGCCAAGGAAAACTTGAAATCGAAATTAATTGATAAAATAACTTAGTAGATGAATATGACAAATAAATGTAATTATATATATATGAGATAGGAATAAATATTAACAAATATAAATTAACTAGTTGATAACCCTTCAAGAATGACGGGAATAATAAAATCTTGAACTCTTATATGAATTTTTTTAAAATACATTTTTTTATATAAAATAAATGACAAATTTTAGTGATTATTTATTCATTTTATTAAATTTAGTATATGAAAGTAATCAAAAATATAGTGTAGATATTGATAAATTGGTATTGTATGTCATTTCCAGAGTTCAAATATTGTTGTTGAGATATAATTTTTATACTGGCATATTTTGGGGTGGTAATATGAGATAAATGTATTGGCTAAATATAATTTAAATTTATTTGTTAAATCTAAATTATAATAAGTATTTAGGATTAGTGAGGGAGGTTAATTTTCTGGCATGAGAAGATATTGATAAATAGGTATTTTATACTATTTGCAGAGCTCCCATATTGTGGTTGAGATAAAAAAAATTTTACTATCATATTTTGGGATGGTAAATAATTTAAATTTATTTATTAAATCTAAATTGTAATATAAAAATTAATAAATTTTACTTTGATTGAATATAAATACTTACGCTAAAATTAATATGAGATAAATATTTATTTTTCAATTGGCTAAATATAATTTAATTTGCTATTTTAAATTAAATAATATTCATTCTTTTCTTAATTTGAGGTGAGGTTAGTTCTTTTTAATATAACACAATAAGATCTAAATTATATAAATTAATCGAAAAATATGTTAATAACAAATTAATAACATATATAAGAAAGATTATATTACAAAATTTAATATAGAAAGTGGCTGAGGTCATGGGTTCGAATCCCTTGATGTACAAAAAATTTTCTTAAAAAAATAACCTTAAGATAATAGGAAAAATAAAAATTAACATTAAGATTATACGAAAACGTTCATTTCTTGATTACGGTGATTATATATATAGATATTAACAATAATATTTTTGAAAAATATAATCCGGCATCTGCATTTTTTGGCTTGGGGGGGGGGGGATTTGTCCCCCTGACCCCCACCCCCGCTGCATACGCCAATGGGGATATTATAATATGACTATTATAAAAAAAATATATTATATTTGGATTCTTAATCCTCAAAGTTTTCCAGTAGTGGAGGCAAGGATATTTTCTGAAACAGCTTCTTCTAAAACTGTTAATTCACAAATAATTAATATTATAGATTAGATAGTATCGATAGTATATATTAAATTGAATATTATAAAGAGAAAAAATTAATGAAATTTCGCTCCAACTTAGAACTACTACATCGTAACCTTGCATTCACAGTTAGTGCGATTTCGCAACGAAGTATGCAAAATATTCTTTATTTTTGTATTCTTCGTAGTAAATTTCATATGTTTCGCAGCGAATTTCCGTTAGCGGAATTCAGGGAAATATAGAAAGGTTTAATAATTTAATTCTATAGTGTTGAGTTATTTAAACTTATTTTTGTATATGTCAGTGTGTTATTTTCGGCAATGTACACATTGCCTGATTATTTTAGGCAATGTGTTACTGTGGTATGCAGGGTGAAATAGTTATTTAATTTCCTAAATAATGAGGCAAAGTGTACATTGCCTGGTTTTTTTAGGCAATATATTTTATTTTACAAATTAATACATTTATTATTTATTTGAAAGATTAATTTATTATTTATTTGATATTAATTTAATATTTATTTGAGAGGAATTTATAAATTTATTATTTTTATAATTTATAGATTTTATTAGATATATTTTTTAAATTTTAAGATTGTCAATATTTTTATTGTTTTAAACAAATTTTTTTAACCCTTCAATACTCCGGTGAAAAAAATGACGTTAGTACTCCGGTGGGGTTTAATAGACCCCAATTTCAAATGTATATATGTCCAGTTATATTCATTATTTTGATTTAATATTTGAATATAAGATAGAACTAACCTTAAACTTGATAAAATATTTATTTATTTTTATTTCTTAAGTTTAGATTAAAGATGGTGAGGATAATTATAATTTGTGCCAAAATTTTCTAAAAAAAAGCTTACTTTTTTTAAATTGGAAATTAAAAATTAAAAAAATAACTTATCCATCATATAATCCTGATAATTCATAACATGGATCTTTATTCTTCAATATTAAAAAAAAATTACACTGATAAATTCAAATATAAAAAAAATATTGAACATTGAAATATGTTAAATTTGACAATCAAAACATTTGTTACATAAAATATTAATGTGTACTAAACATAAATTTATTTTGCATATTTGACAAAAATATTTAGTTTTTTTATCCTTTTTTCTAGGATACACACCACACCTTCCTATTGAAGGCTTAATATTCTCACTGTCTACCACCTTTCTCTCTTCTCTTGTTAATATGTCATCAAATCTCATTGCATGAATTAGAAATCTGAATCAAATGATTTTTGTTATATTAATTTTTTAGGTACTTTTTTTCTGATAGATCTTTATATTTTTATATATTAATTTTTTACGTACCTTTTTTCTGTAGATATATATTTTAACCCATTTGCTTTTAAAAAAATTCAAAAAAATTT